ACCCATCCACCTGCACGAACATGACATAGTGACTAGAACAAACATGGAGTGATGTAAGAAATCTGGATTTGAATCTGAGAACACACAATCAGTGACCACTTACATTCAAGAAGACTCGAAACTGCATGTTTATAATTGATAGTAGGTCTTCTTCATCATTTAAAATGTCACAGTTATAGAATGGCACAGTATGCTTGAGAATAACTTCTTGATGGTTGATTTGCCTTTCAACTTTTCCTTCAAACTGCTTATCATCTCCAATGCTGTCCCTTTCGTGTGGGCTCCCATGTGTGCACTCCAGTGCCAGGCATCCAGAACCTGCCTGGTATGTTTTAGAATGATAGCATGTAACATCTCAATGCCACACAAATCCCATGTTTACAATTTTTGCTACCAAGTATATGTACCGAGTTTGTTTGTTGTCTGCTACTGAACATTTCTTTCATATTATACAATATTCATACAAATAAGACATGGATATTGAAGGTGAAAGTGGCGTGGCACATGGATGCCTATGTAGGGATCTAGGAGCGTTGTCGTCGGACCATCACTAGTCCTTGACTTGGCGAGATTGCCAGTGTGAAGTGCTGAGTAAGGTCTAACGCTGACCATGGCAACATAAACATGGAACGCCAATACGTTTGTTAATTGTTATTGGATCCCTTGACTTCCCAAACGGCATTTAAGACAGTACTCGTTCATCCTCGCTGCGCATGTATTCGGTTTTTTCCAGCAACGCAAAGTCTGCTTGTTTTTCTGCCAAATACCATTTGCCAAGATTCTTGTGCACGCAAAAAAATCTGGTGGTTTTGCAGCAACCACAATTCACTTCTTTTTCCCGAGGCAAGGGAGTCAACTGACTGTAAAAGGCTGGAATTGTGGAGTTATATTTATATAACAAGTCTATGCATAGCCCAATCATAATCGCGTAACGAAATCGAAATCCGGTTCGTCAAATGCCGTGCAGATTTCGGTCATTTGCAGGATTTGCAAAGCATGGATACCGTCAACTCGGCATCAACAGATATTTTCCAAATATTTTCATGTTTTTAATCAAGGTGCTCACGTGATTAGATGCACTTTGCGAAGTAAGACCCGTTAGTTTACAATATAAATCTTGATTATCGATCAGATCGTCTTGACTGGACGCAGCCATTTTGTTTGAAGCAAATGGAAGTTTGTTTGTTTGTTTAAATTGTTGTTTAACACCGCACTCATCAATATTCCAGCTATATGACGGCGGTCTGTACATATTCGACCGGACCAGACAACCCAATGATTGATATCATGACCATCGATCAACGCAATTTGGATACGATGACATGTATCAACCAAGTCAGCGAGCCTGACCACCCGATCCGTTAGTTGCATTTTACAACAAGCATGGGTTGCTGAAGACCTATTCTACCCCGGATCTTCATCGGTCCAAATGGCAGTGATAATTATGAGAAGTGGAATCTGATTGGTCAATAGGAGGGCCATAGAAGGGACATAACTCGTAATAGCCACCGGTGGCGCTACGATCGAGCCCGGAAATTCCAGGCTTGTTCGGTAAGGGTGGAAACGACTCAGTTGACTACCTTGTCTCAGATAGATGAATGCAGTTGTCCCTTTTTCCGTATTGAATGTTGCCATAGCGCGACCAAACCTCGTCCAGCATTCTTTCTTTGCACCACAGAGACATGAAGCCTGTTTGCAGACCTGTTCTGCTCCCATGTGTGTGTGTGTGTGTGTGTGTGTGTGTGTGTGTGTGTGTGTGTGTGTGTGTGTGTGTACCTGTAAGTAACTTGGAGAGGTTCTAGCCTCTGGAACTTTCTCGTATTTTGTCTGAACAATTGTCCAGGAGTGCAATCCAAAAGGCAGCCAGGGTTTGGGCCAAACAATTCAAAAGGCAGCCAGGGTGTGGGCCAAACAATCCAAAAGGCAGCCAGGGTGTGGGCCAAACAATCCAAAAGGCAGCCAGGGTTTGGGCAAAACAATTCAAAAGGCAGCCAGGGTGTGGGCAAAACAATTCAAAAGGCAGCCAGGGTGTGGGCCAAACAATTCAAAAGGCAGCCAGGGTGTGGGCCAAACAATCCAAAAGGCAGCCAGGGTGTGGGCCAAACAATCCAAAAGGCAGCCAGGGTGTGGGCCAAACAATCCAAAAGGCAGCCAGGGTGTGGGCCAAACAATCCAAAAGACAGCCAGGGTGTGGGCCAAACAATCCAAAAGGCAGCCAGGGTGTGGGCCAAACAATCCAAAAGGCAGCCAGGGTGTGGGCCAAACAATCCAAAAGGCAGCCAGGGTGTGGGCCAAACAATCCAAAAGGCAGCCAGGGTGTGGGCCAAACAATCCAAAAGGCAGCCAGGGTGTGGGCCAAACAATCCAAAAGACAGCCAGGGTTTGGGCCAAACAATCCAAAAGACAGTCAGGGTGTGGGCCAAACAATCCAAAAGGCAGCCAGGGTTTGGGCCAAACAATCCAAATTCAACAAGTTGTCAAAAGAACTGAAAGCAATAAGCTGAAAGCTCCAGGGCACTGAGTGGTGTTAAGCCACTTACGTTAATGTTTTAAAGAAATATATTGCGTCTCCATTTTCTTATGAAGCGAATCGGAACATACGTCTGCGCCATGTATTTATTACATACTGTAACGTAATGTCATAAGCGCAGTAATGTCTTGGTCTAATAAGTACTGTAGGTAATAAAACTCACGTTTGTTGTACAATGTCCAAGCTTGGCGAGGCTCCAAAATGTGCCACAAAGTTTTCAGGCTATTTCTATAGGGACGTTTGAAGAGAGGAACACCCCCCTCCCTACCCAAACACACACACATACTTTTGAAGATGGGGCGCAGTGCGACCCTTTTTACTTTAATGACCTCAAATGGTTGAAGAAGGAGGTCTTAATATTTAACTATAAGGTCATCGTCCATTTTACGTTCACTTTTTACTCTGTTAGTTTTCATGTCCTGTTGATTTACTCTAACCCCAGAGGATCACTCTAACCCCAGAGGATCATTCTAACCCCAGAGGATCACTCTAACCCAAGAGGATGACTCTAATCCCAGAGGATCACTCTAACCCTAGAGGATCACTCTAATCCCAGAGGATCATTCTAACATTCTAACCCCAGAGGATCACTCTAGCCCCAGAGGATCACTCTAACCCCAGAGGATCACTCTAATCCCAGAGGATCATTCTAACCCCAGAGGATCACTCTAACCCCAGAGGATCATTCTTTCCGGCATCAACTTTACAATTTTTTGTACAATACATGTTAAAAATATGTTTTTGAAAAGTAACGTTTCTGAGGCGCATTATGCATGAAATATAGTCTGGAAACACCAAGCGACAAGGTGAAAAGTCTAAAACATCCGTATCAAGCTCTCCAATACAACGAATATATCAAACCTTTATTTTTTACCAGCTCAATCTTGAATACTAACCGAAAATTCAAGATGACCTTTCACCAGGTTTTGGTTAATCCAATCCTACTCAACTGTTTAGATATAGTGTTTGTTTCTTTCTTTCTTTGTTATATAACGCCGCACACAGCAGTATTCCAGCTATATGATGGCGGTCTGTAAATAATCGAATCTGGACCAGACAATCCACTGATTGATATCATGAGCATCGATCTACTCAATTGGGATTCGATGACATGCATCAACCAACTCAGCGAGCCTGACCACCCGCTCCCGTTAGTCGCCTCTTACGACAAGCATGGGGTGCTGAAGACCCGTTCTAATCCCGATCTCCACGGGTCTTAGATATAGTGATGGTTTACCACACAATTCAATCTAATTAAAATCGGATCTTAATTGTCGCTACCACTAAACAAAAATCAGGTTATGTTATAACTCAGCCACGATATTTAAAGCATGCATGCACGCACAGCATACCTGGTTATATATAACATGCCAACATGCCCCAGGGCTGACTTTCGATTTGACTTAGTCCAAAGACATGATGTTTATTGGTCCTTTACCCACCCATTCCACATCTTCGTTTGATACCATCTCACCTCAACACCACCAATGCTATCTTGCTTAATATTTGTTTAACTTAACTTTCTAGCGCCTCACAGGCAGTTTGGGTTGTTTGCTATCTTTAGCGTGACGTCACCTTGGTACCACTTGCATTCACCAATCAGATCAGAGCACAACCACCGATGTTGAACTGTCATATGCCTTTCATCTGGCTTGACACAATGAATTACTTAACGACCATGGATAACTCAAAACACAAGTACACTTATTATTAGTTTCCGGTACTTGTATAATGCAGAGTTCTGGCATGGTGACTAGATCCGTTTCGTAGTGACCATAGAGTTGGATTCATTATTACTGTATTCTCTATGGTATGGGAGACAGACTACCCACCACCAGGCATCTTACCGTCGCCTGCGTTTCCACTGACATATTTCAAAGTCTAGTTCTGAAGATGACCACCAGGGTGCTAACGGACATTATAAGAATCCTCTTATTTCCCCTCAAACCTCACGCGTGGTGACATTTACATTTTGTGTATGTCTTTAGGAAGCCATCATAATGAATTTTGATTTGATTGAACTGATTTTATATTTTCCAACTGAATTTACGTTTTGTTTGCTCAATCATATTGGTTCAAGATTGCAGGCGAACAATAGTATATACTTAAGAAACATGAATAAGAATGGAAATTGAGAATTGTTATTTTTTTAAAACAAACATCCAATGAATTATCAATTTCCATTTTGTTTAATTATTCAGAAGCTGTTTGAATGATGGTGTGAAACTAATACAATAGTTTTGCATCACATTTACGGTACACATTGGTTGACATTCCATGTGTGACGTCTTCGGTGATGCTGAAGCTGCTAGTCCTCGCCTAGAGTCTTGACGAGCTACTGAACTCTGACAGTGCTGACGAATAAGAAGACTGCTTACACAGGAGGCTCCAGGATGAATGTTATTTTGTTTAATCCACTAGTTGTGAACATGTAGTGTTTGGAATGTTTAAAAAAAATGACAAAATAGAATTATGATAAAAGATACATTTCTTTATTGTAAGGTGCAGGTATGAAATATTATTTCGTATAATATAGGTGTATACACAAAAATATATAAAACGTAACACATATACATGTCCACATTCTTAAGAACCTGCCTCCTGAGTTTGGTTCTTAAAATACAACTTATAAAAATAAATCTAGATCTTAATGAAAATATTAAAAAAATTAGCACTCAGCAATATTCCAGGTGCCAGGACCCGCTGATATGGATTCATACTTAATCTGTTTCTTTTATTTCTCTGACTTCTTAGCATCCACAGACTCCATGTAGTTCCTCGTATAAGGAAATGTCGCCAACCTACATCAGTGTGGACTCTACTGCGGAGCATGGTCAAACGTAATAGATGTAGTATATGTTCGGTTTTCACGGAGCGAAACGAAATCCACATTTATGCACAGTATGTAGTATCTTCCGTTATTGCCAGACGTCTCTTTGTGGTTAACCGGATACCGTACAATCAAGGTAGTTAGTGAGAACATGTGTCTGCCACGTCTACCCACTGAAATATTTTGCTATCACAGCATCAACAGCCCTCAGTGATCCTTCTGACCACCCTTGCATATCATCTGCAGCCCAGGAGTTGCTGACGATGTACACGTGGTCAGACGGGGACGGTTTGTAGACTAAATCACGGACTTGTCGCTCATCAAACCCGGGCTTGAAGTAGCTCCATGCAGCAGAGAACGGATACTTGTCCCACAACATCATTGCGCCCCCAACAGCCTCGGGGATGTCAGATTGGCTGACGTTGTAGATGGCGCTCAGGTACTTCTCAACTCTCTTCTTGACGACGTCGGTAACGGCATTCACTCCTGGGAGACTGCCAGGGATGGGTGTCCCGAACTGACTCAGTTCTCGCCAGTAGTGTGCGAAGTCCCCGTCGTGGTAGGACGCCATGATGATGGAGACGTTGTTGGTGCCGGTGGACCAGTCATAGGTCTGTCTGTTGGGAAGGTCACTCTTGGTATGGGTGATGTCAGGGTTGCCATTCTTCCACCACTTGGTGTTGTAGGCGAGGTAGATTCTACCAGCTGGAAATCCAAGGACAGAGTCAAGATTCTTCACAATCTCGGGGTTGTTCTTGAACTCGGGGAAGTCAATCTGTTGTATACATTCCTTCTGGGCAGCCAACACTACCTTCCTCGCACACATCGTCAAGCCAGTATTGCCAGTCTGAAAGGTGAGCAACATCTTACGATTAATAGTATTTAACGTCTTTACAGGACTTAATCTTAGGTATGAATGAGTGGATTCCAGCATTATCTATTCCGGCCTGTAAATAGTCGCGTGGTTGACAGCATACTCGACGACCACACCGCCGGTGCCGGTGCCGGCTGATACAATCAGTCCGGTCACACGCTGCAACCCACCATTGAACGACCCATTCAAGCAGTGCATACTGGGGTGCGTGAATCTCGACCGGGGCCTTTTCTAAAATGTGTAGAATGTGACAATGTATCATAAATACCCAAGCATTGCATACTGGGGTGCATGAATCTCGACCGGGGCCTTTTCTAAAATGTGTAGAATGTGACAATGTATCATGAATACCATACAGATGAGCAGGATGAAGTGTGCGGGGCGCTGATAAATAAGATATCACACCTGTACGGGAGTTGTAACACCATCTATTGTCTGAGTCTTCCTGAATCTGAGGTTGTATCCTCCAGTCTGTCTCTTCTCCATCCTCATCAGCTGGTGGTTCAGGTGGAGCTTGTGACTAGGGACGAAAGATACGGGCATGAATGTATAGGACATAGAATACAAAATCTGGGCGGCTTGACGAAATCATCGTGAAAAGGGACATATTTCTGATAGTCACGTGAGGTTCGGACGAGGATGCCCATGATTCTTTCACGGTCCATATTCACTAGATTGATAGTGTGGCCTATATGATACATAGATATGACGCCTTTTTGTTTCTACTCTTCTCGTTAGGTGGGAGGAGGGTTGGTTAACGCCCGAGACAAGTTCTATTTTTCAGACTCACCTGGTGTTAGCTTCCAGAAATTTCTTCATGAGAGTCTGTGGAACCAGCCCCAGTCCCCCCTCGATTGTCTTGTATCCTTCAGAAGTCCCTGTATCCCCGGGGTAGGATAAAAACAGCTTGGGGATGTGGAGGGCTCCCTGCACACCCACTGTGTCGGCCCAGCCACCGGTGTCCAGCGCGTAGTTGTAGGCTTCCCTGCTGGCGTAGCGGCCGTAGAAGTTGTCGACTCTGTGGTACATGACGATGTATTGTGACTGAGTATTAAGACTAAAACAGGTACATATATATAACTGCCATAACGTCATATAACCAATCACCGTTAGTCACTGAACTTCATGTGGGGAATTGAGCCGGGGTGCCACGTGTTGACGCTGTATCCTCTAGATTATACTACACTATATTTGTTTGTTGTTTAATGCCACACTCCAGCAATATTTCATCGGTCTGTAAATAATCGATGTCTGGACCAGGCCATGAGTGATTGACATCATGAGCATCGATCCATGCAACTGGGATACGATGACATGCATCAACCAAGTCAGCGAGCCTGACCACCCTTTGTTTCCTCTTACGACAAGCATAGTCGCCATTTACGGCAAGCATAGGTTGCTGAAGACCTATCTACTCCGATCTTCACGGGTAAACACCCCGTATAAGACGACGGAAACAAGTCGGAAAAGGTTTTATCCGAGAAGGATACAAATTCAAACAATGAAATAAGAACATGTACAGCAATGGGGAAATATGTAAATATATCAACATGTTTGTGAAGGAATGGCAGGCTCAGGTGGAAACATCAGAGTGAATGAGTATGGTTTTACGCCGCTTTTAGCAATATTCCAGCAATATCACGGCGGGGGACACCAGAAATGGGCTTCACACATTGTACCCATGTCGGGAATCGAACCCGGGTCTTCGGCGTGACGAGCGAACGCTTTAACCACTAGGCTACCCGACCGCCCGGAAATATCAGAAGTTGATACTGACGTCATTTTGTACAGCGGCGTTCCGTCTGAGGTCGTGAGTGAATACAGTTGGTCAAGGCTTGGGTAGGTGTCGGTGAGGTTGGCGTTGTTCTTGAACATCTCCCTGTGACAACAAACATGATCATGATCATTCACGCACAACGTAGTTCTTTCAGACATATTCGACAGATATACAATTAATCTTCATCAATCCATTCACTAGCCACATATACGCTCACTATAGCCTGAACATGAAGATGACAGATGCAATGAACACACAACGCATTTTAGAAAATGGTCAATAGTTATGTTTGGCTGGTAAAACGTTCTTAGTGAAGTACAATTTCTAGTACTTTTGGGTTGAGTCCCATCCGGGATTTGAACCCACACTCTCAGCCAGCACACATTCAGCGATGTAACCAACCCAGCCTTCTACTTCCAGATCGCTGACTTCAGGCCCCGCACTCTGAGGGTGTGTGTTCGAATCCCGGATGTACCCAAAAATGTACTAGAATTTGTACTTCACTGAGAATTATCCGATATCTCAATATATTCTTGGATTTGGGAGCGTATAGCCAGGAGTGGATGCACGGGATGAGGACGATTGCGGAGAGGCGTTACCAAACAAATAACTGATTTTCTTTGATCATAGGCGAACAACACTATTATATGCTTAATAAAAGGATGGTATGGAAGCGTTCAGTGCCAATTTCTAAAAATGATATCTACGTAGATAATACATTCATCTATGTATATATATATATTATACGTAGAAAGAAGTACCATCTATTATCCAACAAAATCACTGTCTGAGTAACGATACTCACGATCATAATTGTCATATACGTAGAGGAAAGTATCTCCTACGCAGAGGTGAGTAGTATCTACGTAGAGTGAGTGAGTAAGTAATATTCCAGCAATATCACGGCGGGGAACACCAGAAATGCGCTTCACACATTGTACTCATTTGGGGAATCGAACCCAGGTCTTCTGCGTGGCAAACGAACGCTTCAACCACTAAGTTACCCCACCGCCCCGTATCTACGTAGATGTAAGTAAAGTCAGCGTAGATGTAAGTATAGTCAGCGTAGATGTAAGTATAGTCAGCGTAGATGTAAGTTTGTGTTTTTGTTTTCTTTGTTTTTTTGTTTAACGCCGCACTCAGCAATATTCCAGCTATATGACGGCGGTCTGTAAATAATCGATCCAGTGATTGACATCATGGGCATCGAGCTACACAATTGAGATACGATGACATGCATCAACCAAGTCAGCGATTCTGACGACCTGTTCCCGTTCGTCGCCTCTTACGACAAGCATAGTCGCTTTTCACAGCAAATGTAAGTATCATCTACTTGGATGTAAGTATAGTCAGCGTAGATGAAAGTATGGTCTACGTAGATGTTAGTATAGTCAGCGTAGATGAAAGTATCATCTACGTAGATGTTAGTATAGTCAGCGTAGATGAAAGTATGGTCTACGTAGATGTTAGTATAGTCAGCGTAGATGTAAGTATCATCTAAGTAGATGTTAGTATAGTCAGCGTAGATGTAAGTATCATCTAAGTAGATGTAAGTATAGTCAGCGTAGATATAAGTATGGTCTACGTAGATGAAAGTCTACGTACGGATATGTTTTAAGAATGTGGCACTTATACGCTTCCATGGGATGGCCATTAACCAGGTGTATGTATCACTCATTTAACCACTGACAATTCCGCCTTCACTTACCACAGTAACGTATCAGGGTCCTTTGCCTCTCCCTCCCCAAGGTTGTACGGTATAGCACTTGTTCCGATGTCAGAATTGCGCATGCGCATGCCACGATTGTACCAGATTGTCTCATCTGCATTTCCGTATCCGAGTTCAAAGGGGATGATGTTAAGTCCGATCGCTGTTGCTGTTCTATTCAGTGTTGGATGAGCTCCCGATTTAAACCTCATTCCCCCAAAATCGAGGTACGTCCCCGGGGCGACAGGCAGCTCGGCAGAGAAGAGTCTCCCCCCGACTCGGTCCGAGTACTCGAACACGGAGATGGAGAGACCTCTGTCCCTCAGTCTCCACCCAGCGTAGGCGCCCCCAATACCGCCGCCGATCACGGCGATGTCCAGACAGTCGCCGTCAGCGGGAACTGAAACGTAGCACAAACAAAACTGGTTTAGAATCCACGTCCAGAATATTATTCATCATTCTAAGAAGCTTCTCTAAAACCAACGGTGCCGATCCTGCGATAAAGTACACTTTTTGAATTATGTTACAGTGGGATGACGTCATGACGCTGTTCAAATAACCTCCCTTCGTGAGCTTATCTGTAGTGTCTCATAGGCCAAATCTGGCCAGACACATTTATATGTGTGTGACACTTTAATAAAATATCTTCTTCTTCTTCTAACGTATAATTGGTAACACCTAAAATAAACAATCTATAGGAATGTGAAGAGTTAAAAAAATAATCCAGAAATGACGATGAAATGTATCCGGAGTGTAATATGCTTGAAGATAAAGCGCACGGAATTTTCAGTTGCCCGCTGTGTTTGCAAATGCAAATGAATACTAAGCAGCCAACATTAATCACATGTCTATCTACAACTTTCACCCTGCTGGTGGAATATCAAGAAACCAGATTCGAGCAAATAGCCACACAGTTTGTAAGCCGTACTTAGCGTAAGTCCTGTTAAAAAAGACACATTTTACTGAAAGTCAAATAAAACCTAGTGTATTTTGTATTTTGAAAGCGATCACGCGATGTTCAATTTCATTAAAATCAGACCTTAGTTCTCGCTACCGCTAAACAAAGATCTGAAGACATCCCATTAGGGGTCACGTCAGAACGACCTTTCATCCGACCAATCAGTGCGTCGCTAACCAGATTATGAAAGTGACATTCGGAATGTGATTTCTAATCATGCAATCTCGAAAGCTTTAACATTGGGTATTCCGAATGATAGTTATGGGTTTAATGACTGAATCCTTACAATCTAGACCATCTATTAGCGATTCCAGAATGTTTTTTTATTTCAGGTTTCAAATTTGTAATCGAGAATTTGTCAAAATATGTCTCGAAGCGTAGTCGCCAATTTGAAATTTGTGCCGTAAAGCACGAGAAAGCTGCCTTCTGATTGGTCATTCCATTGGTCGGTCAAAGTTCGCGCAAGGTCGGTCTGACGTGACCCGTAATGGGATGTCCTCAGATCTTTGTTTAGCGGTAGGGAGAACTAAGATCTGATTTTAATGAGATTGCGCGATGTTAATCCCAGCGTTGCCTGCGAGTAAGAGGAGCACTCACTGGAAGGGGGTATTCATCGGGCTTCTTTGGCGTCCTGTTAGACGTGAGCATGTTTGTTAAAACGCTGTTGTGCTATATGAAGAGCTTTAAACATATTAAATTTTACTTATATCGAGTATACAGATACAATTTTGAAGATTAATTAGAGTTAATTAGATTATTACTATGGAGTCTGTGACACGCCTGAGGGATGCAAATTGCGGTGCCTCAAACGACTGATCACTGTCAGTTTCAGAAATACTAGAGTGGGTGAGTGAGTGAGTGAGTGAGTGAGTGAGTGAGTGAGTGAGTGAGTGAGTTGGGCTTAACGCCGCTTTTAACATGATTCCAGTTATATCGCGGCGTGTCAGCTTAATGAGGGACGAAAGCTCGAAGTGGTGCAGGTCTCAGGCGTTTACCACTTCGGTGAAACCCACGAGCACGGGTATGGTGCTGACATACCTAGAAACATAATCGGGGCGAGGATTCTAACCCACTATCATTGATTTCTGGCAAACATAATCGGGGCGAACCGGGAATCGGACCCACAATCATAGGTTTCTTGTGTGCCCAAGGGACGCAACTATGCACAGCGAATCGCGACGCCTTAGACGACTGGGTCACCCGCGACCCCAGAAATACTGGAGGTTAGTGATTTAAAATCTTCCCGAGGCAGGAGAGTTAACTGACTTTAAAAAAGCAGTTTCCACCCTTGTCGAACTAGGCTGGAATTCCTGGGCACGATCGTAGCGCCACCATTGGCTATTACGAGTTATGTCCCTTGTAAGCCTCTCCTATGGACCAACCAGATTCCACCTCTCGTATCACTTGCATTTGTTTCAAACATAATGGCGGCGCCCAGTCAAGACGATCTGATCGATAATCAAGATCTATATTGTGATAAAACGGGTCTTACTTCGCGAAGTATATCAAATCACGCGAGTACCTTGATTAAAAACATTAAAATATTTGGAAAATATCTGTTGACAACGAGTAGGCGGTACACATGCTTTGCAAATCCTGCAATCGACCGAAATCTGCACGAAAGTTTACGAACCGGATTTCGATTTCGTTGCGCGATTCTGATTGGACTATGCATCGACTCGTTAGTCCAGCCAAACTGTAACTCCATAATACTAGCCTAGTTCGGCAAGGGTGGAAACTTGACTTTTATTGTCAGTTAACACTCTTGCCCCTGAAAGATGCTGATTTCATGTAAAATCACAAACGGAGTCCAAGGTAATAGGACCCTATAATCTACGAGCACAGGCATGGTGTGGACAAACCTAGAAACAGGGTGACTCTGGATTTCAAACCTACAGTCATGGTTTCTGGCACCCTGCCACGTCAAACTGCACTACGAACAGCGGTGCGCTAGACAACCGGGCGACCCGTGCCCCTTGTGGGTGGTGGGTAAAGAGAATTGTTCAGACAAAAGGGTTCCAATCCTAAATGTCGATCAACCTTAATGTTTGGTTCTCACCTTTAACAGTCGCCGCTTTCCTGCTTGGTGTGGTGGCGGAGATGTTCACGGGTAGTGCTGCAATGGAGATTGTAATAAGGTAAAGGTATTGTAAATGGAGGCGAGGTGAAATGGGGCTTAACGTCGCGTTCAAGATTACATTATACTGACTCCGAGCCGACCTCTTCTTTTTAGCCTCTTAATGCCGAGCTCCAGACAGGATAAAAACAAGTACCATCTTTTAACGTCTGTTGGTATGACGCGGCCGGGGATCGGACCCCAGAGACGCTCTATCCATTAGACAACGAAGGCGGTCTCCGGGCAGACGCTCCAGCCACTAGACTACGGAGGCGGTATCCGGGCAGACGCTCCAGCTACTAGACTACGGAGGCGGTCTCCGGGCAGACGATCCAACCACTAGACTACGGAGGCGGTCTCCGGGCAGACGCTCTAGTCACTAGACTACGGAGGCGGTCTCCGGGCAGACGCTCTAGCCACTAGACTACGGAGGCGGTCTCCGGGCAGACGCTCTAGCCACTAGACTACGGAGGCGGTCTATCGTAAATTGAAGTCCTGTTCTCTTCGTTTTATTATGAAATATGTCTTCTGTTCTGATAACTGGTAGTAGGGGTAGAAATCGAGCGTTCATTTCATCGAATAGCGTTTATGGAGGTCTTTTGTTTTATTGAAAGACACAGGGTACAATGTTAACCTGTTATCAATTGTCTGTTACTTCACTTGTACTGGTGGTATACCCGGAAGGGGAACTCCAGTTTGACATCTTAGGTCACGTGACATCTTAGGTCTGCCAGTCGTTTGGTATGATTCAATCATGATCTTTAAGTATCGCATATTTTTTTCCAACTTCAATTGAGCACGACTTAATGTAAACAATAAACTTATGAATAGCTGCCATGAAAAAAGTAATGGCCGAGTGGTTAAAGCGTTCGCTTGTCACGCCTAAGACCCGGGTTCGATTCCCGTAGTGCTTGCCGTAAAAGACGACTATGCTTGTCGTAAGAGGCGACTAACGGATCGGGTGGTCAGGCTCGCTGACTTGGTTGTTGCATGTCATCGTATCCCAATTGCGTGGATCGATGCTCATGATGTCAATCACTGGATTGTCTGGTCCAGGCTCGATTATTTACAGCCCGCCGTCATATAGCTGAAATAATGCTGAGTGTGGCGTTAAACAACACACAACAACATTAGATATGTTTTTTTATGATCATAAGGAGACTTACACGTTGCTATGAGGCTGGCGGTGACGACTGCAGTGACAAGCAGGACTCCCACCGTGATGACCGTCATCACCCGACATGGTCCACAGCGTCGATCCAGGCAAGGTTCTTCTGAAGGCTTAGTTGACTGCTGAAACAGGTTTTGACATCTGGTATGTAAAGTAACAATTAGTCGTTAAAATGTTTGTCAATATCATGGTGAAGTAATCACAGCAGTCATTCGCATCTGTGTTTCGGAAATCGATCGAGGGAGTTGTCGTTTATTACTCAGCATAAAACATGTGTTGCATAAACGCTACCTTATAATGGGTCAATCCTGAAGCCGCCGTTAGCTAAACATTACATTACATGCACAGATTAAAATAAATGCAGCAAAGAGGCTTTGTGTGATCCTGACACAGTCAGGCTGGTTAGGCTCATCATCAGCTCAGGACCCAGCCCAGACAGCGAATGGGACTTCTCCCAGGAAACGCTGCCTTGTCGATCCCACCCAGTACTTTTCGGAGAATGTGAAGACTCCCCAACACTGCAGCCCTCTGCATTACTCAGATCGTCAGAAGGGCTGTATTCATGGCAACAAACCCGGGTACTTTCCCAATGACAGCCAACAGATTGGGAGGTACAAGAACCTAAGACACCGAGAACAATGGGGAGTCTGACAACTTGGTACATGGGATACAAGCGTGACATCTCGAAAGCGAGGTCTGCATATGTGCCATGTTGTTCCTGAATATTTTCTATCACATTAGTGTCAAAAGGGACAAAATTCAATAATATACTAATATTAAGCCGCAATGCATAGGAGATATAGCTTTGGAAGTCTTTCCGGATGGACCTCTGTGTCAAAACCACAAGCATGGCGAAGACGGTAATAAAATGATCGAGCCACACTATCATGTCGCTTAAGATACTGTGTTTGTACCAAAGCTGGACATCCACTGACAATGTGTTGGACAGTCTCATTAAATTCATTGCATAATCTACATTTTGATGCAAAATCACACATTGATGGTTTCGAGTGGGAAGTGAGCATCAAACAGAAAGCCTTCAGTTTCACTTTTAAGGCCAGCCTAATTAATATTAATATTATGAAAAAATAAAGAACGCGTTGGGAAACGTTCTACATAAGGTGTTCTTAGTTTGATCTGCCAGTTCACATTCACATGTGTATGTCCGAATCTGTAAAGTTAACATCCAACCAAAGGCCCATTTTTAAGAGTTTTGGTTTGGTTTGTTGTTTAACGCCGCACACAGCAATATTCCAGCTATATGGCGGCGGTCTGTAAATAAAGGAGTCTGGACCAGACAATCCAGTGATTAATATCACGAGCATGCATCAACCAAGTCAGCGAGCCTGACCACCCGATCCCGTATGTCGCATCTTACGACAAGCATAGTCGCCTTTTACGGCAAGCATGGGTAGCTGAAGTAATGTAATGATATAAAATAAAGTTATTTCACATGATACAATATACTTTGCACACAATTAGTTATTGCTTAAAGAGACTGACCAAAACAAGGACGAAATATTTTAATAACGCCACAAATTAGTTAATTTAAGTTAAAATGAGTTGAATCATTTGTCATGATGCTTGTACACACACCTTTATGTGTTTGCAAAAGAAATCATGAGTTTTGAGCAAAGGAAAATATTCTCGCCCATGGGCGACATAGTTTAAAATTTTGAGTTTTTAAAAGATTTTCTTTTACATTTTTTCTGCCTTTTTATGTACGCATGAGAACAGCATGTTCAATTACCTTAAATACCTTTGACATAGACTGGCCACAGCATGGTTGGTTGTTTTACGTCGCATTCAACATTATTCCAGCTATATGACGACGGTCTGTACATAATTGAGTCTGGACCAGACAAGCCAGTAGTTGACATCATAAGCATCGATCCACGCAATTGGGATCGATGACTTGCTTCAACCAAGTCAGCGAGCCTGACCACCTGATCCCGTTAGTCGCCTCTTACGATAAGCATAGTCGCCTTTTATGGCAAGCATGGGTTGCTGAACACCTATTCTACCCCGGATCTTCACGGGTCGGCCACAGCATGGAAAGATTCTGGACAAATGGGTTTCCAGAATTAAAATTGGACATGTCATGATAAAGAAAGACAAGTTCTATGGATGAACAACTTCTTTATTACAATTAGTGCGACGTTTTGGTGTAGATTCTAACACCTTTATCAAGCAAGTGATGGATAGTGCTGAACAGCATAGGTATATATACTTATTAACATCAATGTTTATACAGTAACTTGATTGATGGACACGGGGAGCTGAATAAGATGATTGGAAGCCTGTGAATGACTAATGGGACAGGGTAAACAACCACGGAAGCTGATAGGGATGATTTTGAAGCCAGTGAATTAGAAGCCACTGAATTGTCTGATCCAATCATCTTAATCAGCTCTCTGTGTCCATCAATCAATTTACTGTATAAACATTGATGTTAATAAGTATATATAGTATTATATACCTATGTAGCTAAACTATCCCTCAAAATCCCAGAAATAAGCTTAAACTTACCCATCTCAAAATCAGAAATTAAAAGTGTAAACAAGCAAAAAATCACAAAAAATGGCATAACCTATATCTAAACTCAAAAAGCCAAATCAAAAAATCACTAAACTCCAAACAGGACACACCAACCTAAATAACCACCTAAAAAATTTTAAAAAAACCACTACAGGTAACTGCCCACACTGCAAACAACCAGAAACCCCAGAACACGCACTCATCCACTGCACACACTACCTAACACATCGAACCGCATTACAAACCACCCTCAATCTAAACAAGGCTCTAACTCTAGAAGCAATACTAAACCCACAAAATAAACTAGAAAACTTCAAGGCCTTAGGCGTATTCTTAATAAAAACGGAACTAATAAAACGCATCTAAAAACACAATAACCTACCAAATCAAAATCACATTAACAAACAAACATCCACCATACCCAGCTCCCTTAGTTCTCCTCCCCAATCCCATCGGCATCTATTCGAAATCTCAAAATTCCCAAATTCTATATAAGCAACCCCTAAACCCCCCTCTTGGGTTGCACAGACCACTTTCGCCCCTTTCTCAAACACATTAAATGGCCTGGCCGGGCCCGTGTGCGAAATTCGCATCAGTCGGAAAGCGCACGTTAAATCTCCAAAGTGAGTGAGTGAGTGAGTGAGTGAGTGAGTGAGTGAGTGAGTGAGTGAGTGAGTGAGTGAGTGAGTGAGTGAGTGAGTGAGTGAGTGAGTGAGTGAGTGAGTGAGTGAGTGAGTGAGTGAGTGAGTGAGTGAGTGAGTGAGTGAGTGAGTGAGTGAGTGAGTGAGTGAGTGAGTGAGTGAGTGAGTGAGTGAGTGAGTGAGTGAGTGAGTGAGTGAGTGAGTGAGTGAGTGAGTGAGTGAGTGAGTGAGTGAGTGAGTGAGTGAGTGAGTGAGTGAGTGAGTGAGTGAGTGAGTGAGTGAGTGAGTGAGTGAGTGAGTGAGTGAGTGAGTGAGTGAGTGAGTGAGTGAGTGAGTGAGTGAGTGAGTGAGTGAGTGAGTGAGTGAGTGAGTGAGTGAGTGAGTGAGTGAGTGAGTGAGTGAGTGAGTGAGTGAGTGAGTGAGTGAGTGAGTGAGTGAGTGAGTGAGTGAGTGAGTGAGTGAGTGAGTGAGTGAGTGAGTGAGTGAGTGAGTGAGTGAGTGAGTGAGTGAGTGAGTGAGTGAGTGAGTGAGTGAGTGAGTGAGTGAGTGAGTGAGTGAGTGAGTGAGTGAGTGAGTGAGTGAGTGAGTGAGTATGTTGTTCAGCTTTATCCATCACTTGCTTGATAAAGGTGTAAGGGTCTACACCGAAACGTCGCACTAATTGTATTAAAGAAGTTGTTCATCCATAGAACTTGTCTTTCTTCATCACACCAACTTCTAAATGCCACTGAAAGAAGTCATGTCATGATATCTTATCATATTTGGAAAAGGACATTTCAGAACTTACCATTTTAACCGGGCAGAAACAACGGTTATATCCAAGCAAAGATCGATGTGGTCACACTGATCTACAGAATGGCGATGGTGACCTCAATAAGTGGCGTTAGTGCCCAATCACGTGACATATACACCTTGTATTCACTCAGCCCAAGCGCCTCGGCCTATTGAACGTATGCAGTGACCCGTGAAGATCCGGCCACATAGACATTAGGTAGATGTAGATGTAAACAGTCTGCAGGCCCCTATATCACGCGATGAGGTAGTACGCTCTGTTAGCTGCTCTAAGTGTGGTAAGGCCGTAGGCTGTGACCTTATACCTGCAGAGGCACTTAAGAATGATACTTGTGTTGACATTCTGCACCGGATTTTTGCTTACTGCTTCGAGAATAATGTTTGTCCAGATATTTGGCATGAAAGTATAATAACGCCTATTAAGAAACCGGGTAGTGACCCCAGAGATCCTCTTGGCTATCGTGGTATATCACTACTTTCCATTCCCTGTAAGCTATATTCAGATATACTAAACTCTCGTTTCACAAGTTGGCTAGAAGATAATGACATTTTGGCTGAGGAGCAAAATGGATTCCAAAGTAAGCGTAATACTATTGAGCACATATACACTTTGTTTTCAGTAATTAATAACAGGAAATCTTCAAAGTCCTCTACATTTGTCTGTTATATCGATGCCATGAAGGCCTTTGACAGTGTTAATCGAGACTGCTTATGGTACAAACTGATGAAGTTAGGAATTAATGGTAAATTTTATTCTGCTGTAAAGTCTTTATATGACAACAGTGTATCCCGTGTATCGGTAAATGATCGGCTTACTGAAGGGTTTGAAGCAAAGCACGAAAAATGCAAAGTATCATTACCAGAAATTTGGTATAAAGGGATGGCATTCAAAGGCTACCCGCATAATCGCTGTAGGCGCAGAATAGCAAGGACGCAATGCAGAGACTGATATTTGAGGAACGGGAACGTGCCATCATCCTCCCCAACACTGCAGGCCTCTGCATTACTCAGATTGTCAGAAGGGCTGTATTCCTGGCAACAAACCCGGGTACTTTCCCAATGACAGCCAACAGGAGGTACAAGAACCTAAGACACCGAGAACAATGGGGAGTCTGACAACTTGGTAATTGGGATACAAGCGTGACATCTCGAAAGCGAGGTCTGCATATGTGCCATGTTTTTCCTGAATATTTTCTATCACATTAGTGTCATAAGGGGCAAAATTCAATAATATACTAAATATTAAGCTGCAATGCATAGGAGATATAGCTTTTTTTTTGGGGGGGGGGGGGGGGGGGGGGGGGGTACGGGTGGAAGTCTTTCCGGATGGACCTCTGTGTCAAAACCACAAGCATGGCGAAGACGGTAATAAAATGATCGAGCCACACCATCACGTCGCTTAAGATACTGTGTTTGTACCAAAGCTGGACATCCACTGACAATGTGTTGGACAGTCTCACTCCATAAACTACATTTTGATGCAAAATCACACATTGATGGTTTCGAGTGGGAAGTGAGCATCAAACAGAAAGCCTTCAGTTTCACTTTTAAGGCCAGCCTAATTAATATTAATATTATGAAAAAATAAATAACGCGTTGAGAAATCTATATAAGGCGTTCTTAGTTTGATCTTACAGTTCACCCTCACATGAGGGCAAAAGTATGTCCGAATCTGTAAAGTTAACATCCAACCAAAGGCCTGGTTTGTTGTTTAACGCCGCACTCAGCAATATTCCAGCTATATGACGGCGGTCTGTAAATAATCGAGTTTGGACCAGACAATCCAGTGATTAATATCACGAGCATGCATCAACCAAGTCAGCGAGCCTGACCACCTGATCCCGTTAGTCGCCTCTTACGATAAGCATAGTCGCCTTTTTTGGCAAGCATGGGTTGCTGAAGACCAATTTTACCCCGGATCTTCACGGGTCGGCCACCGCATGGAAAGATTCTGGACAAATGGGTTTTCGGAATTAAAATTGGACATGTCATGATATATTTTCATATTTGGAAAAGGACATTTCAGAACTTACCATTATAACCGGGCAGAAACAACACTGTTGTTCACACTGATCTATAGCATGGCGATGGTGACCTCAATAAGTGGCGTCAGAGCCCAATCACGTGACATATACACCTTGTACTCACTCAGCCCAAGCCAGGGTATTCTTTAGGGGTTACGCAAGATGCTTGTAACCGGCTTGTCACCCAATCACATATACCTGGGCCCTTCGCGCTCTGCGGGTATTGTATTTATTACAGCTTGGGTAAGACTCCTTCCATCAGAATCAATTGTCACGTACAGAAACAATGGATCAAATCTAGGGGATTATTTCATTTCTTCGGGGTCCCCAACAGGTTGTTGTGTTGTTTAAGACAGGACGCAAGTTGACACGGATTGGGATTTTGACATTGTTTTACGAACTGCCAACAGCGATTGAACGACGCCATGTGCTAAACTCTGGATTTAGATAAAAAAGATGACAACTTGTGCTTACAGAATTACATTTACAGAATGCTAAAGAATAACAACCTTCGTGACCAAAAGTCCCCCAAATTAAATAAGCAACCCTAAAGTCCCCCAGGCATACCGGGCAAACGGCAAAACCACTAAATGGTCTCGCTCTCTCTCGCTCTCGCGAATATTGCTAAAAGCGGCGTAAAAAACATACTCACTCACGCACGCACGCACGCACGCACGCACGCACGCACGCACGCACCCACCCACCCACCCACCCACTCACCCACTCACTCACTCACTCACTGTGCTGGTTGGAGTCATGCCCTTTGTGGTACAAAGTCACTTTAACCCTGTTATCACCAGAATCAGGACAGACTCACCGATGGGTATTAGTCAGGAAGTTTTCAAAAGTGGTCGTAATTTATGTCTACTTACGGCCAATGTTGCACCAAACCCGAATACAAACAACAGAGAGGCATGTCTGCGTGACTGCAATTGTTGCAGGTTTCCCTGCCATGTACTTTCTAAAATATCAAGACAGCCCCCGGCTTTATATATGACCCATAGTGGAAGCGAATCCTATATCGCAACAAAGAAATAAAAGTATCAAGGATTTGCTTCCATTCACAGTATCAACATATCATATCAAGAAAGCATATTGTCATTTATATATACGACCATGGTTGTCAAATCATTGTGAAACTTGATACCTTTTTCAAGAAGCGGCCAACAAATACAGATGGACGGCGGATAAGTCAAAATAAAAAAAATAATCTTTAACCGGGAGGGAAATTTGCAGGCGGCGGGAGATGAGAGACACGAAAATAAGTAAGGACGCCATTATGATAAACGTCGGTGCATCTTGGAGATGTGTGTCCCAGTCGTCTTAATGCACAGAACTTCGTTGTGCAGAGTTGCGTCCCTTATACGTGCTAGGAGTCGAAGGGTTGGAAACCGAAGGTTCACTCTGAGTATGATTCTTGTTTCAGCATAGTACCATGGCATCGCGCATGTACGGGTGTGTGGCAGGGACACAATAAGTAGCATCTTTTAACATCCTTTTGTTCGCGCGGGCGGGGAGCAAACCACCAACACTCTATCCACTACACCACAGATTCGGTCGTAAAATATGAATTTATATTATACACTCTTCAAAAAAAGAAACGCATAGGTAGTATGTAGTTCATTGAACCTGACTACGAAAAAACAGTAATGCAAAATGCACGTGCAAGTAATGACATTCGTTACTCGTGATAGTGGCTGTAATATTGCAAGCATAAGCCAATAATTTGTCATTCAATTGTCAACATTTTTCAAGTTCGAAAATGTCGAGACTCAGCGCTGCCGATCGGAACATCGCCATAGGACGTATCCAAAGAGGGGAATCGCAGCCTTCTGTTGCACGCCACTTCAACGTCCACCACAGCACCATCTGCCGCCTTTGTGACCGATACACTCAGTTCAATTCCACTGCAGACCGTCCGAGAACCGGCCGACCAAGAGTTAAACTCCCTGCACAGGATCGCTACATTCGACTGTTCCACCTACGTCATCGCAATGACACAGCTACGGAGACTGCAGAACGCATCCCTGGTTTGAGGAGGATATCGGACCAGACTGTCAGGAACCATCTTCTAGAGGTTGGAATCCGACCGAGAAGATGAGTTATCGTCCTTGTTTTGCAACAGATCCATCGACAGCGACACTTGCGTTGGTGCCATCTCTTACAGCCTTGGAATTTGAGAAACTGGAGACGACTGTGGTTTAGCGATGAATCACGATTTCTTTTTCACCGGCAACATGGAAGACAACGTGTTTATCGTCGTCGAAATGAGCGTCAAAGTCAGAACACGCCGCAGACTCCCACAACCGGCCAACGCGTTACAAGTAGAATGGCACAGAATTCCGCAGGACAGAATTCGTACATTTATCTTATCTAGACAGTGCCGAGGAGATGCAGAGCCGTGATTGCTGCCCGGGGCGGTCACACGATATAGCGCTACCTTGTGGCCTTATGTGAAATGGCAATGACCATCGAGCTCCAAAATTTCGTATTTGTATTTATGATATTAGATTAAATATATCGACTTTATTAGGCACAATAAATTAAATCTACTTGTGCGTTTCTTTTTTTGAAGAGTGTACATGTACATGTGTACACTGCCCTGTGTTGGCTTTCTTCGCATTTGTCGGGTAGGCTTCAGTCTGTGATTCTTGGTGAATCAATATCAGAATGTGTACTGACATGTGGAGTGCCGCAAGGATCGGTACTTGGGCCCATCCTGTTTACAGTTTGCACAGGAAGTCTAGCCAAACTGATAGCTCAACACGAGAATGATGATCACTCCTACGCTGATGATACGCATTTAGTTTCACGTTTCAAGCCATCGGAAACAATATCTGAAACCTCTCGTATGGAAGACTGCACATAGGCCGTGAATTCAGGGATGACTGAGACTCGGCTAAAACTTAATGATAACACATCCTAAGATATGCTTGTAGGTAACGCGTGGAATCCTGAATATGTGAACCCACTTAACTGTTTGATTTTATAAATATGTTTCTGTAAAACAACGTCCGCTGTGTCATAATAGTTGGAAAAGAACAACGAAAATATCCCATGGTTAGGACTTAAGGAAACTCCAAAACTGTCGTCAGGGTTGATAGTCGTTGTGAGTCGTCACCAAAACGCAAAAGAGAACAGTACTCAAAAGTTTTTACACGTGCAAAGCACGAAAAATGCAAAGTATCATTACCAGAAATTTGGTATAAAGGGATGGCATTCAATGGCTACCCGCATAATCGCTGTAGGCGCAGAATATCAAGGACGCAATGCAGAGACTGATATTTGAAGAACGGGAACGTGCCATCATCCTTTCGTAAGCTCGATTCTGACCCTAAGGCACCGAAATGGACGTCTACAATGGTCGCTTGGGCATTGAAAATGGTTACTTCGACGCTGGCATGGCGTTTTCTTTCCTGACGAATCCAGATTTCACCTCAGGAACGCCGATGGACGTATTCGGGTATGGCGTCGCCGTGTTGAACGTTATCACGATGATTGTATAGTGCAGACTGATGATCGATGGGGCGGCGGAAATGTGATGGTTTGGGGCGGTATCAGTTTTCGGCACAGAACACAGCTCCATGTATGCATAGGTTGTGTTAATACAGTTTACTACATGGACGCCATTTTAAAACGTCACGTTGTCCCCTGTTTCCGTCAACACCAAGAGCTGCATACTTTCCAACAGGACGCCAATGCACACACAACAAGTGCTTCTGTGGACTTCCTGACACAGAGTAACGTACCTGTTATGCCATGGCCTGCATTATCTCCCGATCTATCGCCCACCGAGCACTTGTGGGACGACCTGAGACAGCGCATTGCACCTTCAACCTCAAACCGCCAACGTTAGAGAGCTCGCACTTGTCCCGCAACGTGAGTGGCGTAGGAGCTCGCACTTGTCCCGCAACGTGAGTGGCGTAGGAGCTCGCACTTGTCCCGCAACGTGAGTGGCGTAGGAGCTCGCACTTGTCCCGCAACGTGAGTGGCGTAGGAGCTCGCACTTGTCCTGCAACGTGAGTGGCGTAGGAGCTCGCACTTGTCCTGCAACGTGAGTGGCGTAGGAGCTCGCACTTGTCCTGCAACGTGAGCGGCGTAGGACCGCAAGCTGTTATCCAGACTGATACTGTCCATGAGAAGGCATTGCAACCAGGGACGGTCATACCCGATACTGATGTTGTCTTTGGACCCCTTGTGTGTTCCATTTCCTCTACATTAAAATTATGCACTTTCCAGTGACACTTATCATTACTAATGTGGAACTAAGTTATCTGAGTGTGATTGTAGTGCACAGCCAACACTATATAGAATTAGGTTTCACTTTTCACCTCTGCGTTATACTATATATGCGTTTCAGTCAAAGGTCAAGTGTCAAAGGTCAAGAAAGAATTTCAGTGACCAAGTTCTGATATATTCTTTGCCCAAAATATTTCATCTCTTCCAATCATTGTCACGGGTGGTCAGCCATCTAAGGCGCAGCAACTCTCTGAGTACAGTTGCGTCAATGAAGCATGTCATATTTGTTTCAGACCTTCAGGCTTTCCTCCCACATCAAACTGAGACGCCGTGTTATACTGAATACTAATGCGTCGATAAAACACAGCTCACTCATCCAACCGCCTACTCACTCATTCACTCCCTCACTCTCTCTCACCAAATTAACCCCGTCACTCACTCGCTCTTCGTATTAACCCTGCCACTTCATGTTGAACTTTCACGAAAAATAACAGATGGCGCCGTGGTTAAAAGCACCACAACGAGCTGCGCTAAGATGTGTACCTAACTTGTAATGGTCGATCCTAGTTGCATACCTAGTATGACATTGGCAAAAACACCACAAGCATGGATTAACCCAAGCAGTAAATGTCTACGGTGTCTATGAGATTCCCACTTAATAACACCTCACCGCAGGGATGACTAAATATCGTTACCTTCGTCTCATTCCCTCGCCTTCCGTTCAACTGTTATTGCGTATGAACGCTTCCACTAAATAAGATATTGTGACTAGTTTGGTACATTGTGCAAAATGACCACTTTGCCAGACTTTTGTTATCATACATGAGTACATGTATAGGAAGTATATTTTGTAAGACCATGATGAAAAAGGTTTGTTTTTTTCGCGAACACCTGGTGTCAGTGATTTTCAGGGATCCATTCAAATACATTTCGCCGCTATTTTGCCTTTTTACGCCAAGTGAAATCTGTTTCGGCGAACAATCGAGACTTGCTATTCTCTGGTATTGAGCTTTTAATATTCAACAGGCTTTCTCCGAGACAAAACGTAAACCACATAAATACTCAATGGTATCACAATTTACAATAGCAAGTTATTTTTGGTTAACCACATTCGTAACACAAAGATAGTTTGTTAGAACATGTGTCTGCCATGTCTATCCACTGAAGTATTTTGCTATCACAGCATCAACAGCCCTCAGTGATCCTTCTGACCACCCTTGCATATCATCTGCAGCCCAGGAGTTGCTGACGATGTACACGTGGTCAGACGGGGACGGTTTGTAGACTACATCGCGGACTTGTCGCTCATCAAACCCGGGCTTGAAGTAGCTCCATGCAGCAGAGAACGGATACTTGTCCCACAACATCATTGCGCCCCCAACAGCCTCGGGGATGTCAGCTTGGCTGACGTTGTAGATGGCGCTCAGGTACTTCTCAGCTCTCTTCTTGACGACGTCGGTAACGGCATTCACTCCTGGGAGACTGCCAGGGATGGGTGTCCCGAACTGACTCAGTTCTCGCCAGTAGTGTGCGAAGTCCCCGTCGTGGTAGGACGCCATGATGATGGAGACGTTGTTGGTGCCGGTGGACCAGTCATAGGTCTGTCTGTTGGGTAGGTCACTCTTGCTGTGGGTGATGTCAGGGTTGCCATTCTTCCACCACTTGGTGTTGTAGGCGAGGTAGATTCTACCAGCTGGAAATCCAAGGACCGAGTCAAGATTCTTCACAATCTCGGGGTTGTTCTTGAACTCGGGGAAGTCAATCTCTTGTATACATTCCTTCTGGGCAGCCAACACTACCTTTCTCGCACACATCGTCACGTCACTCGTAGAAGTCTGAAACCATGAACACAGAACAATATACCAACGCCGTGTGATCACAACCCCAGAACATAAACAGTCGGGCAAAATAATGTGAGAGAGTGAGTTTTGGTTTAACGCCACTACAAACAGTATTCCAGTTACATCACGGCGTGTCAGTTTAATGTGGGTGGAAAGTCCAAAGTGATGCAGGTCTCAGACGTTTACCCTCTTGGCGACATGGGTGGCAAAAGAATGTCTACACCTTTGTTTGATGGTGTTTAAAAATGAAACATACAAGAAATGGTTTTTCGATCGTAATGTATTTCATCCGTGTATCCGAGTTGTGGTTTTACCCTAAGTGTGCAGTCTTTAGGCGACTTATTTCAGCCTAGGAACATTTTTTTAACGTTTGTAATTTCTTTGGTCAAATCCATTTTCAAGTGTATACTTTCTTTTACCCGTCAGTTTATAGGTGAAACTCATATTTGTGACACGTGGATAAATTACCCATCTAAACGATCATATCCTAACACAAATTAACCACAAAGCGTGAATTATTATTATTATGATATCTTCTAGATGTAACATGCACACAAGAACGCTGACGCACGCACACATACACACGCGCACACGCACACACGCGCACGCGCACACACACACACACACACGCACACACGCACACACACACGTATACATACACACACGCACACACACACACACGCACACACACACACGCACACACACACACACACGCACACACAAGCCGTATTGGCTGTATAAGTACTAGTATGTGACTGTCTAGAACATTAAACACAAACTTCATATATTTTTCTCCAGAATCTCCACGGGAAAGTTCTTTCTGTTCTGTGTATACGGTCACACGTGTGTCCTGGATATCACACAGGTGGGCGTGGTCAATACAGTTGAAAGTGCAGAAGATAAGGTACCTGTACAGGTGTTGTGACACCTTCGGTTGTCTGAGTCTTCCTGAATCTGAGGTTGTATCCTCCAGTCTGTCTCTTCTCCATCCTCATCAGCTGGTGGTTCAGGTGGAGCTTGTGACTAGGGACGAAAGATACGGGCATGAATGTATAGGACATAGAATACAAAATCTGGACGGCTTCACGAAATCACCGTGAAAATGGGCATATTTCTGATAGTCACAGTGAGGTTCGGACGAGGATGCCTCTAGACATGGAAACCCCTAACTCAGAACACCAGCCAATTCTTTCACCGTCCATATCCACTAGATTGTACATTGTATTGATAATGTGGCCGATCCCTCCCCCCCCCCCCCCCCCCCCCTATATGGCGCATCTCCGGTGGCCATAAAGAACCTAGATTTCATAATTAAAATAACAGAAATAATCTGTTAACACGTCGACTGATTAAATACGTTCCGCGCCAAGAAAGAAACCACTGAGGCGAACTCACCTGGCGCTAGCTTTCAAGAATTTCTCCATAAGAGTCTGTGGAACCCGTCCCATTCCACCCTCGATTGTCTGGAATTCTTCAGATTGCCCCGTGCCCCCGGAGTGAGGTAGGTAGACTTTGAGGACTTTGAGGGCTCCCTGTGGCCCCACGGCTTCAGCCCAACCACTGGTGTCCAACACGTAATTGTAGGCTTCCCTGCTTGCATATCGTCCGTAGAAGTTATCAATCCTGTGATGAAAGAAGAACGCTCTGTTAATTAAGAGACGACACACCTCAGTATTTCAAACATCTACATATATATACATGCATGTGAACACACCCTTCATCTAAACAAAGCCAGAGGGCCAAACAAGGAACGGGAGGCGGGGTAGGTGTCTGAGAAGGTTTTACTTGGTTTGGTTTAATGGGGCTTTTACAATATTTCTGTTATATTATGGCGTGTCAATTTGATGGGGGTGGAAGTCTGAAGCGATTCAAGTCTTAGTGAGAGAGTGAGTTGGGTTTATCGCCGCTTTTAACATTATTCCAGTTGTATCACGGCGTATCAGGTTAAAGTGGGAGGAAAGCCCAAAGTGGTGCAGGTCTCAGACGTTTACCACTCCGGCGAAACCAACAAGCACGGGTATGGTGCTGACAAACATAGAAACATAATCGAGGCGAACCGGAATTCGGACCCACAATCATAGGTTTCTGGCGTGCCCAAGGGACGCAACTCTGCACAGCGAATCGCGACACCATAGACGACTGGGCCACCCGTGCCCCCTCAAGTCTTAGACCTTCACCACTCTGGTGAAACTCACGAGCACTGGCAAGTTACAACCTGCGGTCTGATCTGTTACACAAACTGATTTGTGTAAAAATATGTAACAATCATATGTTTGTCTCAGATTTGACACACAAATGTATTAACACTGCACGCCCTGAAGAAATGTGTAGTTGGAACCAAACGAATCTGGCTCCTCATTTATGACATATGAATGTCTTGAAGCAGACCCCGAAACATTATTGTGTCGCGAAGAAAAAGCCATTGAATTACTGTGCCCTCGCCAAGATCTACACCTGTTTGCATGGGCGTTCCGATTCTCCAATCGTTGAACTGTTTTTGTAAATAATTCCATGCCAAGATGTGATATTTCCTTTCTAGGTTTCAAATACGTTCTTTGACGCAAGTTTATCTTTAGCTGCATGTATAGTGTGCGTCAGACTTGACTATACATGTATATGCTAATCTACATATCACGAAACCTGCAATAAATAGGAAATGAATAAATGAATATACATATTATCATATTATAACATAACATATTATGCAAAGCACAAATAATAGAACTACACAGCCCGATCACATTAACAAGACTTTTCAGTAAAATAAGCACAACTCTGAACTTAATTCGACTGCATATCGAAAACGGGATAGTAGTGGCTCTGTGAGTAAGTTATCTCCGAAATTGGGGGCATAGGTGGCCCAGTCGTGTAAGGCGCCGTGATTCGCTGTGTAGAGTTGTGTCCCTTGGGCACGCCAGAAACCTATGATTGTGGGTTCGAATCCCAGTTCGCCCCGATTATGTTTCTAGGTTTGTCAGCGCCATACCTGTGCTCGTGGGTTTCATCAAAGTGGTAAACGTCTAAGACGAGCTTTCCTCCCACATCAAGCTGACACGCCGTGCTACAACTGGAATACTGTTAAAAGCGGCGTTAAACCCAACTCACCCATTTCGCTATCTCCGAAATTGCCAGGAACGAGGAGAATGGGTCGGAGGGGAACACGATCGGAACTGACAGGGCGGTACATACGTCATCTTGTACAGAGGAGTTCCGTCCGTGGTCGTCAAGGAGTACAGTTCTTCAAGGCTGAGGAAGCTGCTGCTGCTGATGTTGACGTTGTTTTTTAATAGTTCCCTGTGGATGTAGGAATGCATGTCGTGTTAAGTCTATCAATAAATAAGTCTGTCAATATCAACGCCAAAGCTGAGCTATACGTCAAAATAACATTTATGACGAATATGTTGACTAGACTCGGTAAATCGGCCTTGTAGCCGTTTAAACACCACTTTCATTATCCAGTAACTAAAATTGTACGATGTATATGGGTCTACAATGTAGTTTATGATTACCTAAATATGTCTCAGGTTCACACAGGGCACAAGATCCATAGACTTAGACTGAACATAGGCTTCAGACTGCGGAGCAGTCACCCGATCAGCAGATCACCACCCCATGATTCAACAACCTACTAACTATAACTTCTTAATGTCATTTAGAAGTTGGTATGGTGACCAAGGGAGGTACATGTAGTTCTATTGATATACAACTTCTTTATTACATTGAATGCGACGTTCCGGTGTAGACACAGACACATCACTTGCTTGATAATGGTGTTAGCATCTACACGGAAACGTTAATAGAAAGTTGTATATCAATAGAACTACCTCCCTTGCTCAGCCTGATAACTAACAAATACGACATCTGTACGATATACGATATTTGTAACCTGTATATGGATGTTTTGAAGAAATACAGGAGACACGTTGTTGTGTTTAGTAGGAATTTTTATGATTATGGAATTATCTTTATCGCTTTTTTTTTCATGATATATGACAATAAAGAAGGCGTGGTGCTTAGAAAGGGTGAAATGATACACCGATATTCCGATGCATCGCGATACTTGACCCACGGTACGATATACGATAAACGTGGGCCCATTTATCGATGCGCCACGCTACGGAACGCAAATCTCAAGTACAGCTATTCCTCGAAATTGTGCCTTTTAATAAACCGCTAACTTGGTTATAGCGCGCGGTAACGCATGGCTCCCCAAAACGTACTTACATTTTTAATAAGCTCAGGTTTTACACTAACAGATGTTTTTTCCCCATCTCAAAAAACATTATCAGCTGATCACCGCAAGCACATAACACCGGAAATACCAGTCAGCAAAACCGAACTGAAGTACACAATTCAATACCATCATTATACTATCTTGTTATTAAAACGTGTTCGTTGTATATCTGGACATGTGTTTGTAATATATTTTATTAATTTTATTCAAACTTTCATTTAATATTGTTTTCATTAAAGTAGGTGAAATCGTGTGTGAAGAGATACAGCAACCACGGTCAGATTACCGCTTTTGACGCATTTAAACGATCTTAAGTTGCTAAAGAATGGATACATATATTAAAAATGACATACTTTGACTCGTTAAAAGTCATATTTGTGGCAATTTGGCTAATATATCTCAACATAACATTTTCGCAATCGAAATACCTGTCGTTGGGAAGTCCCTACGGTGACTGGTCAAATTGTTCCATACGTAAAAATATCCTGCAACAGCAATCACCAGTACCAAAATGCTACGCTTGTGGTTTTTATAATTTTAAATACATATAGAGTAAAAGCTGCAACTAAAGTAACACGATATTGGAATATATTATTTCTGATAAAAAAATAATTTCAGATACAATTTCTCCGACCATTGCATACAAATTCTTTGAAGTTGTATAACTGGTGAAGTACATTAATTATTTTCTGGTGTTTAAACTTTGAATTGTTTTGAAGGAAGGTTAGGGAAAGTTCCACTTTGAAGCTTAACAACTTAAGTAGTCTTGTTATTATAAAATAATGTTGACTGTTCCAAAATCATGAAAGGTTCAATCTTGACATGCTTTAAGTCTTGTTTTTGTATCATAGCGTATCGAGATACGTATCGTATCGTGACCAGAATATCGAGATGCGTATCGTATCGTGACTAGAATATCGAGATACGTATCGCATCGTGACCAGAATATCGAGATACGTATCGTATCGTGACCAGAATATCGAGATGTGTATCGTATCGTGACTAGAATATCGAGATACGTATCGTATCGTGACCAGAATATCGAGATGCGTATCGTATCGTGACCAGAATATTGCAGCTCTAGTGCTAAGCGTTTTTCTAGGGCCCCGTTCCACATAGCGATCGTAGCGTTACAGCAGTCGTAAGTCTATGTTAAAGTGTGAGAGTTACGATCGTCTTAGCGCTATGCTCGCTTCCGGGAACGGGGGCCTGGTGTACATATAGATATATTAGTTTCACTCACCTAATCAATATGTCCGGGTCCTTTCGTTCATCTTCGTCAAGGTTGTAGGGCACGCGTCTTGTTCCGAGGTCAGTATTGCGCATGCGTTTGCCACGGGTGTACCAGAGCGTCTCATCCGGGATCCCGTATCCCTGTTTGAAGGGGATGATGGTCAGTCCAATCTCTGTTGCCGTTCTGTTTAAAGTAGTATGAACACTGGCCCTAAACCTCATCCCCCCAAAATCGAGGTACGTCCCCGGGGCGACAGGCAGCTCGGCAGAGAAGAGTCTCCCCCCGACTCGGTCCGAGTACTCGAACACGGAGATGGAGAGACCTCTGTCCCTCAGTCTCCACCCGGTGTAGGCGCCCCCGATACCGCCGCCGATCACGGCGATGTCCAGACAGTCGTCGTCAGAGGGATCTGAAAGTTTAAGAACAGAATTTAAACAAAAATAAATTCTGAATCCGGTAGGATCGGACAGTGTCAGTAACATATCTACTTTTTCTACTTTTTCATATCAGCTGTTCACCTATGATATTGACATCACAGTTCATGACTAACAACCAAATAATGTACATATCAAATGAGTGTCAGGTTCTATTTACATTTGAAAGATGTTTTCATTTCCATTTGAAACAGATTTCATCTAACCCGTATCCAACAAGTCTGAGAAAACGACCAACGTATGCTCGTCACGTGACTTACAAGCTGTTGCTAGGGTTACGGTGACCACCAAGGTGACCCAAAGGATGCCTTGCATCATGTCTGTCCTCGCCCGATACGCTGCTCCAGTAACGCCTCATGAGATGGCGCTGAAAACAGTATGGTAGACATGATTATGGAAAACAGGTAATATAATATCTGTTACAAATATTTTGTTCAATTTTTCGCTCATTTACTTTTTATAGACTTACGAATTTTATATCCGTATAAGATCGCCGGTATGTGTATTAATCGACAATTTATATTTCCATCTTTATACACAGTAAACTACGGTTATAACGAACTCAAAGGGACCACTTATTTTAGTTTGAAATAACCGTAGTTCGGTTTTAAGCATATATACAGCATATTTACAACAAATGGCCGGGACTAAGAAATAAGTTCGTTATATCGGTAAGTTCGTTATAAGCGTGTTCGTTATAAACGTAGTTGACTGTATCATGAAAGATGGAAAGCTCGTAAAGCCAGGATCGCATTTTACTTCTTACTTTCTATCTCACTATTTTGAAAGATGGGAAGATAGAAAGCTCAACATAGCTGTCATATTCCAACGTTCAAAACCTGATTTTGAAATATTAAACACATAAAACCTCGTATTTTCGCATTTCCGCGGCTTGGCACTGAAAATAAGAACCGCGGTTAACCAATTCTCGTTCATATCGCTCTTGTCTTTCGGGGGCGGTGGGGTAGCCTTGTGGTTAAAGCGTTCGCTCGTCACGCCGAAAACCCGGTTTCGATTCCTGACATGGGTACAATGTGTGAAGTCCATTTCGGGTGTTCCCCGCCGTGATATTGCTGGAATATTGCTAAAAGCGGCGTTAAACCATATTCACTCAACATTGCTGTACATGCAATTTAACGACATCGGTTATCGCTTGCGGTATCACATGGACACGTTGCAGTAGTTTAGCTGGTGAACAATAGCAGTCAGTACAAGTACGGTTTACTATTAATGTTTTGACGATTGTTACAGGGACTGGCCATTTTATATTACGATTATATCATAAGCATGTGTGCATGGATTACTATCAAACCGTGATGACAACAGGCGTTTTCGCGAAATGTTAGCGTATCCTGCCCCACCAGTAGCACCTGTCACAAACACATGGAAAGGCAAGTCAAATGTTCACCTGAAATACACGAAAACATATAGTACAAGTCAAAATGCACGCACGCACGCATACAAACACACATACCGACACCGACACACACACACACACCGACACACGCACCGACACACACACCGACACACACACACACATACCGACACACACACACTGACACCGACACCGACACACACACACACACACACACACACACACACACACACACACACACACACACACACACACACACACACACACACACACACAGTCCCTTAGACAGAATTCATTTCTGTTATTTTAGAAAGTATAGGCTGGCAATTTGTAATTTTCCTAAAAACAGCGATAACTAGTGGAAAGTGGGTATTGGGAATATGACTGCCCAGGAACAGGTACCAAAAACACCTCACCCGAACACGCCACCTTTGACGGCGCTCGTGTGGTGACAAAAAAATGGTGATACAGGTTTCCCGCCTATGGCATAAACTGCACGTGCATGTTAGCTGTATAAATGCATTCGTCTGAAGGGTATTACCACACACGACACAAAAGATATGCCACGACTGAGAGAGAGAGAGAGAGAGAGAGAGAGAGAGAGAGAGAGAGAGAGAGAGAGAGAGAGAGAGAGAGAGAGAGAGAGAGAGAGAGAGAGAGAGAGAGAGAGAGCCATCGGTATGGCCGAAATGGGGGCAACACAGGTCCAAATTGCCAGAAGGATTGGTTGTACACCACTGACAGTAGCCAGGCTGATTCAACGGTACAGGCAGACAGGGAGGATACAGGACAGGCCTAGAACCGGACGACCCCGAGTGACAACACCACTGGAAGACGGTCAGATACGGCTCATTCACCTGCGAAACAGATTCGTAACGGCGACGGCGATGGCAGGAACAGCGTTGGGACATCTCATTAGCCAACGTACAGTACTACGACGACTTCGTGCTGCTGGAATCCGAGCGTATCGTCCTTTCCGAGGAATGGTACTGACTGCTCAACATCGACGCCTGAGACTGCGATGGGCGAGGCAGGTTCGACGCTGGCAAGTGGGAAATTGGCGTCGAGTGCTGTTTACTGATGAAAGTCGGTTTAACTTGTTTCGAAATGACGGCAGAGAACGAGTTTATCGACCTAGAGGGGAACGTTTGGCTCCGGCGTGTATTCGAGAGGTCCCTCAATTCGGCGGGGAGGTGTGATGGTGTGGGGCGGTATTTGTGGAGATCAGAAGACTGATTTGGTGATTATACAGGGAAACCTGAACGCTGTGCAGTACAGAGACCAAGTGTTGGAGCCAGTTGTGCTTCCGTTCTTACAAAACCAACAGCAGGGGACATTGTTTCAATACGACAATGCCAGGCCCCATACTGCAAGACTGACTCGGAACTTTCTAAACCAGCAGAACGTTGACGATTTGCCCTGGCCTGCCCACTCACCCGATATGAATCCTATTAAACATCTGTGGGACCATCTTCACAGACAGATTAGAGCACGCCATCAGCCTCCCGTCAACATACAAGAATTGCAGCAGGTCCTGAGAGACGAGTGGCAACGGATTCCAGTCCACGTCATCAGAAGACTGACGTCATCGATGAGGCGGCGTATCACAGCATGCATTGAAGCAGCTGGAGGTCATACACGCTATTGAAGGCAACTGTGTCGACAATGAACTTGTAGTGTGTCTGACAATTTTTTGGTGACATTTCTGACAACTTTTGAAAATGAAATGAGCTTACATTACCTGTGATTGCACAATTTCATTCAAACTGTGGTTGATCAATCATTTGTTACCCCTCCCTAGATTATATTATAATTCACAACAAAACCTCTTCTTGTTATTTTTTTATCGATCATGGAACTCGACCTGTACTTTCTTTTGCCGACCAGTGTATTACAAAATCCCCAGTTATTCCAGTTCAGCTAACTCTTGCACCCGCCAGCTGCGCTTAATTAACACTTAATACTCATAAAACCATCCAAAGGCTGAGCCACGAGGCCTCCACGTGCAGCTGTGTGAGGGAGGATGGAGACCAGCTACGCATGACTGTCTGATGTGAGATGACGTTCCGGGAAAGCATTCTGGCCATAGTTTCAAGTGTATTGTTGCTACAGTGCCAGTCTACTGCAATGTCTTCGTCTGTATACAATATCAGAATCAATTAGACTCTCGGCCGTATGCAAAACCAAAATTGTCTAACCATTTTGTAAATCACTCACACATAAACACGAACATTTACAAACATGCACACTCAAACACAAAATCACAAACATACACGCACACACAATCACAAACACACACATACACACACACCACACATACACAATCACACACACACACCACACACACACAATCATAAAACTCTCTCACACACACACACACTGACACATACATATATACTCACACACATACAATCTCAAACACACACACTGACACAAACACACATACACACTCACGCTCTCACACACACACACACACACACACACACACACACACACACACACACACACACACACACACACACACACACACACACACACACACACACACACACACACACACACACACACACACACACACACTTATACATACCTTTACACCCGCACCCCCACACATGCTTTCACGTACTCACACACACAAACACTCACACACACTGACCAAAACCCCTCCTCCGTCTCCGGTGTACGGTGGGGAACATCGCCAAGCTTCTTTGTTTTGTTTGTTGTTTAACGCCGCACTCAGCAATATTCCAGCCACATGACGGCGGTCTGTAAATAATCAAGTCTGGACCAGACAATCCAGTGATTGATATCATGAACATGGATCCACGCAATTGGGATACGATGACATGCATGAACCAAGTCAGTGAGCCTGACCACCCGATCCCGTTAGTCGCCTTTTACGGCAAGAATGGGTTGCTGAAGACCTATTCTACCCCGGTATCTTCATCGCAACATCACCAAAAGCTGTGGTTACATTTATCCAACCCGCAACTGACTGAGCCCTGCAACCAGAGAGTGAATACATGTGGCGGATACCTACCTTAAACTAATCATGTCCATTGTTCGAGTAGCACCACTTGCCTCCACGAAGCAAACATACTGACGGTAGAAAACAGTGAGGGAGTGATTTGTAGTGCCAGTATCGGTGTTATGTATATGCATGATGGCGACAGCTGGGTTCTGCGTGTCAATACAGTTTGTCAGTATCAATAGCTATATCACACAATACAAGCGTTCGATACATACAACATTACATACAACACGTCTTGTGTTGGCATTAAATGTGTCGATAGTATTGCAACATCTTGAAAACATATCCCCCACCATCACAGTTTAGGAGGGATGATCTTTTCAGCTTTGTATGCAACAAGTTTCAAAATTTGTTGATTCAACGTGAGTAAAATCTATAGAGTTTGCGTACTGACTCTCAACCTGTAAGTAATTTAACGTAGGCAGATTCATAAAATGCTTTGTTTGTTTATATTAATGGTTAATAACGCACTCGCATTATTCCAGCTATATGACGGCGGTCTGTAAAAAAAATCAAGTCTGGACCAGACAATCCGGTGATGGACATCATGAGCATCGTTCATCATATTTGGGAAACAAAGACAATATTTCGAATGCATACCATGTACTACAATATAGTTATATTGATCAGTCATCAGTGAGTGATCAAATACCATGACAACTGAAGAGTCGTGACTGAAAACGTGCGAATTGGGGGTGGCTTATGCAGATTAATTGACAGTTCTTTTGCAGTGGAATGATTTTATATGTGTGACATCCATGACAACACTCCACGCAGCATCTTCGGGAACCTTGGATTCCGTCTCACGTGCCGACTGAAGAGGATCGAGTGGTTATTATGTGAGAGTATCACATTCCGAATGTATGGAAAACTGTTAGGGACATTCTCGTTTTCCCCCGATGTTGATCTTTCGAAACAAGTTTTATATGTTAAAAGTACGAGTATGCGAGACCGAATTTTCGTGACTTTAGTAATGTTTTCTTAATGCCGAGAAAGAATACGACATTTGGAAACTGAAGTAAAATCTCTAAATCTTGTATACATTTATACCATATTAATTTACCATTTATAGCGTGAGAGCTTTTGTCGTATTAAAGCATGTTTTTCAAGTGTTTCACTTTGCAATAATCACAGTTTTGAGAGTGTAGAACACGGATGGGGCAATGTCGTCAGAACTCGCTGCGCCGGGTTGTGTCCCTTGGGCATGCCAGGATCCTATGATTGCGGGTCACCCTGATCATGATTCTTGGTTTGTTATAACTATACCCCTGTTAGTGGGTTTCACGAAAGTGGTTGACGTCAAAGGCCTGCATTACCTCGGGCTTGCCTCTAGCACTGAGCACCCCACGATGTTCTGTAAGCGCTGTCAAACTCTCTCACTCACTTGAGTGGGTACATATGACGACGAATGCATCATTATTATTATTAAGAGCATGATGCGCATACGTGTACACCTGAAAATGATATGTAGCAGGTGCAATAAAAACAATAGATGAACGAGTAGTTATTTAAATCGCCACACTGTCTTTTGTTAGCATACCTGTACTCATGGGTTTCGCAAAATTTGTAAACGTCTGACGCCTGCATCACCTCGGGATTTCCTTCCACAATAAACTAACACGCCGTGATATGACTGGAATACTGTCCAAGGCGGCGTTTAACCCGACTCACTCACTCACTCTTTTATTTGAGTCATTTTCTAACCGCCCGCTACCCTGAACCATCGTACCCTGGGTACCCAGATGCTAGAGTCTTTGGTGCTGATAATTTTTGACTATGGACGTTATGTGTTACTAAATGTGACATTACATGCATTGTCAATTTGTTTCACATGAAATATTTTCTTTACATGTACTTGGAGTTTCTTTACGGAAAATATTAAGTATATTTTTAAAGGCGCCTTGAATTCAAAAATTTCTAGAAGACATTTCCCTTCAATATGGGTACAATGTGTGAAGCCCATTTCTGGTGTCCCCCGCCGTGATATTGCTGGAATATTGCTAAAAGCGGCGTAAAACCATACTCACTCACTCAAAACGTTCTCCTGGACGCCAGTAGACCCTCGCACTACCGTCAGAGCTGTATAGGAGAAACCTGGACTCATCTGTGAACAGTGTACTGTCTCAGCCTTGTCGCACTACCGTCAGAGCTGTATAGGAGAAACCTGGACTCATCTGTGAACAGTGTACTGTCTCAGCCTTGTCGCACTACCGTCAGAGCTGTATAGGAGAAACCTGGACTCATCTGTGAACAGTGTACTGTCTCAGCCTTGTCGCACTACCGTCAGACCTGTATAGGAGAAACCTGGACTCATCTGTGAACAGTGTACTGTCTCAGCCTTGTCGCACTACCGTCAGAGCTGTATAGGAGAAACCTGGACTCATCTGTGAACAGTGTACTGTCTCAGCCTTGTCGCACTACCGTCAGAGCTGTAAAGGAGAAACCTGGACTCATCTGTGAACGGTGTACTGTCTCAGCCTTGTCGCACTACCGTCAGACCTGTATAGGAGAAACCTGGACTCATCTGTGAACAGTGTACTGTCTCAGCCTTGTCGCACTACCGTCAGACCTGTATAGGAGAAACCTGGACTCATCTGTGAACGGTGTACTGTCTCAGCCTTGTCGCACTACCATCAGACCTGTATAGGAGAAACCTGGACTCATCTGTGAACAGTGTACTGTCTCAGACTTGTCGCACTACCGTCAGACCTGTATAGGAGTGAGTGAGTATGGTTTTACGCCGATTTTAGTAATATTCCAGCAATATGACGGCGGGGGACACCAGAAATGGGCTTCACACATTGTACCCATGTCGGGAATCGAACCCGGGTCTTCGGCGTGACGAGCGAACGCTTTAACCACTAGGCTACCCGACCTGTATAGGAGAAACCTGGACTCATTTGTGAACAGTGTACTGTCTCAGCCTTGTCTTCCTAACCCAACGATGTCCAAGCTGCGCGTGGCTGACGGTGGCGTGGCAGCAACATTGTTCGTATCGCAGCACATCGGGGTCGGATGGTATGCTCCCTCAATCGGTTGCGTACGGTTCTGCCACTAATTGGTCTCTTAGAACCCAGGAATTGTCCAGCCTTTTAGTCAAGTAAAGTTATTTTATTCTCATAACCACCCACGGTGGTACAAGAGCATATTTTACAGAATATTTGCAATCATGGACATAATTACACGTGATGAAAGACAGAAGCACAGATACTGGTATATACAACTTTATTTTTTGTTGATGGAAGGAAGAATAATCGAAATATATTTAGAAGGTTTCTTTTATCTTTTATTAATGTAGGGCATAACACACTTGTATATTTAGATACGCTAGGCCAAGTAAAACAATCTCCAGTAATTACTTCCTGTTAATGTGCACCAACCGAATATGATTGTCTTGTTGACGTGACGTTACACGTGGACGACCTGTCGGGGCAAGTCATGAGCTGTAGATAACGTGAACGTGTTTTATGAGCACCTTACAATTTATCATCCAAAACTGGCTCCCACAGGAGATATCGCTTGGAGTAGATCAAGCAATATCTACACTGAAGATATCGCTGCAATGAAATTACATCACAATGCTTTGCAGACCATTGTGACGTCACTGGTTACATGACGTCACAATCAAATGACATCACTAATGGCTCTGCTACTGAAGCTGTTAGCAGTACTTTTTACACTGAAGACACTACTAATTGCTGTCTACAATTTGAAAAAGTTGGAAGAATGATGTTGGATGATAAATAAAATCTCACCCTCGTGTCTTTTGATATCAAATATATCAACACTCGTGGATAAAAGTGGCAAAATTCCTCGGCAAGCCTCGGAATTTTTCCACTTTTATCAACTCGTGTTGATATATTTGATATCAAAAGACACTCGGGTGAGATTCTCTATTTAACAAACACTGTGTACAACCAAATATGAAGCACATACGTTTTACCGTTAGTAGACACCCAGTTATAGTTTCGCGTAAAAGAGTCCTAATACTTTTGAGATCTTCCCCGTAGACAAGACTATGTAAAAAAAAGAAAACGTCGGACGGGAGCTCGTCGCTGCAACGTTTCGTGGCGTGTAAAGGTTCTCAACTAACTTCGTGCTAATAGGTAAGAAGTTACCAAAATGATACATATGTAGCAAGCGATACAGGAAAACATAGCAAATATTTTCAACGCACATTTTCAACACCTGCACGGGGAATTCGGAATAATATTACCACGTGCTTCAACACAATTCGACACGGTGACGTGTCCGGTGATGTAATACATGTGATATTTTTTACACATTTCAGAACATTTAAATGCCTGTTGCAAGATGTCTCTCGAGAGCGAGCTGACCTGCTCGATATGTCTGCAAATATACCAGGATCCAGTCGTGCTGTCATGCATGCATTCGTACTGCAGGGAGTGTCTCAAAGACTTGCATTCGAAGTCCGACACAGACGAGACATTTCGTGGTTTGTGACTTTGTCTTTTAAATTACATTTTTCAGATTGTATTGAATGATTTTAATAAGATGAAGCTTGGAGCACACCTTATTTCAGTTCACCTTGCATCGACGATGCGGACTTATGTCACATACTTTTCATAGTTCTTCTATATGTTATGGGATTAATTAAAACTTTAGGAACAATTAGAAACAGCTTATGTTGAGCATTGTCAGACTACGAGGACCTGGTTCAAGGAACAGACACAAGGGTCCGAGGACTCTGACCTACTTGAACCATGGACAACATTCAATGAACCAAATTTGCACCTAAAATGTTTAAACACTTTGGTTTGAAAACTTATTCGAAACATGTTCAACTGTGAGAACACTGTATACGTGAATCACGTGAAATATGTTCCCTGTGCCTTTGGCACGTGCATCTCGCTCTTTGGCGACTCGGATTATGAAACACACGTTCCAAGGACAGAATTCAAAATGGACCAACTCGAGCATATTTATCAACCTCATAAATACTTTTGCCCATGTCAGTAGGCATATATGAGCAAACATAGCTTTGATCAAGAAAAGGGTGACACGCAAATATCCCTGTTCATGACGGATTTACTTTTACAAACGAAGTGGGCTGGAGAGGGGAACTAAAAGTTGTACCACCAACGCACACTAATTCCACAATAACAAATACCGGCAGTGCAGGTGGCCTTGCTGCTAATTCGATTTATGGATTGAATTTACACTTGACTATGTTGGCTACCACTGTCACTGTCCTTAATAAACCCAAGGGGGCATAGGTGGCCCAGTCGTCTAAGGCGCCGCGATTCGCTGTACAGAGTTGCGTCCCCTGGGCACGCCAGAAACCTATGGTTGTGGGTTCGAATCCCAGTTCGCCCCGAATATGTTTCTATGTTTGTCAGCACCATTCCCGTGCACCATACCCGGGCTCATGGGTTTCACCGAAGTGGTAAACGTCTGAGTTTGCATCACTTTGGGCTTTCCTCCCACATTAAGCTGACACGCCGCGACATGACTGTAATACTGTTAAAAGCGGGGTTAAACCCAACTCACTCACTCACTAATAAACCCAACTACTTCTTATTTTCCAAGGTGAGCCATTCAAGGCAAGCAACACGCTCTCATGTCCTGACTGCAGAGTAACGACGAGCTTTGGTCTGGAAGGTGTTGATGGCCTACCCAAGAACTTCACCCTTGCAAATATATGTCGGAAGTTCAAGGAGACTTTACACAAGCCCCCCTTTCTTGCATCGTGTGAACGTCGCTCAACGACACCATCAACGCGAAAGAGCTGTTATTGTTTTGCATGTCAAGTCATTGTGAGGAGTGGAGATCTACTGACAACACATCTATGTCATGTCACAGAGGACTTAGATACGGCAATGACTCATCGCAAGGTAGGTGGTAATACGTGATCAGGCAATCACCGGGGATTATGAATACAAGCGTGATGTATGTAACATTTGGGCGCACACTCATCCGGGATATAACATCGTAGAACAATGATGTCACACAACGATACCAAGGCAACAAGGGAGATAATCAGTCCTATGAGCCTGTTTTGCTTACTTTTTATCAGCTTGTCGTTTGATTACTTAAAGATATAGCTGGGCTGATGTATTTGTGACTTGTTAAACTTTCGGCTTTTACCTCACGCACGCACGAACGAACGCACGCACGCACGCAAACACACACACACACACACACACACACACACACACACACACACACACACACACAGAGTCTTAAAAAAGAGCGACATCGCTAATTTATCTCATATACGGGCGGTGGGGTAACCTAGTGGTTAGAGCGTTCGCTCGTCAAGCCAAAGACCCGGGTTCGATTCCCACAAGGGTACAATGCATGAAGCACATTTCTGGCGTCCCCCGCCGTGACATTGCCGGATCATTGCTAAAAGCGGCGTAAAACAATACTCACTCACTTACCCTATCAGATAGGTGGGGGCGAGTCCATATTCATTTTTGAGTTTTGAAAACAAGTTCACTATTTGAAAAGATATTTCAAACACACAGATAATGGACGATGAAGTATGAAGTTTGTCATGTTCATATAAATATCCCTTTTCAGGCTAAACTCTCCACTTGTATTCCGGAGCTTGAAAGAAGTCGCTACAAGAATTATGCTAAACTGAAAACAGCATCACATGAGCATTATCAAAGACAGGTACTGACCCACCTCAGAGAACCCTGAATACAACTATCCTGTCTCCCCGGCCCAACTCAACAAAGACAGGTACTAACCCACCTCAGAGAATACTGAATACAGCTATCCTGTCTCCCCGGCCCCACTCCACAAAGACAGGTACTGACCCACCTCAGAGAATACTGAATACAACTATCCTGTCTCCCCGGCCCCACTCCACAAAGAGAGGTACTGACCCACCTCAGAGAACCCTGAATACAACTATCCTGTCTCCCCGGCCCCACCTCAGAGAATACTGAATACAACTATCCTGTCTCCCCGGTCCCAATTCCACAAAGACAGGTACTGACCCACCTCAGAGAATACTGAATACAGCTATCCTGTCTCCCCGGCCCCACTCCACAAAGACAGGTACTGACCCACCTCAGAGAATACTGAATACAACTATCCTGTCTCCCCGGCCCCACTCCACAAAGACAGGTACTGACCCACCTCAGAGAATACTGAATACAGCTATCCTGTCTCCCCGGCCCCACTCCACAAAGACAGGTACTGACCCACCTCAGAGAATACTGAATACAACTATCCGGTCTCCCCGGCCCACTCCACAAAGACAGGTACTAACCCACCTCAGAGAATACTGAATACAACTATCCTGTCTCCCCGGCCCCACTCCACAAAGACAGGTACTGACCCACCTCAGAGAATACTGAATACAACTATCCTGTCTCCCCGGCCCACTCATCAAAGACAAGTACTGACCCACCTCAGAGAATCCTGAATACAACTATCCTGTCTCCCCGGCCCCACTCCACAAAGCGACATTAGTGATCCAACTGTCGTCAGTCAATCCCCTCGTCACGCCGAACACCCGGGTTCGATTCCCCACATGGGTACAATGTGCCCATTTCTGGTGTCATCCGTTGGATTGTTGCTCAAGGCGGCGTAATACAATACTCACTCACTCGAAATGTGGTGGGAAACTAACTCATAGTCAGGAACTATATGCTTGTGGATAGATGTTCATGATGTCAATCACTGGGTTGTCTGGTCCAGACTTGATTATTTACAGACCTCGGTCATATAGCTGGAATATTGCTGAATGCGGCGTTAAACAACAACCAACCAACCAACCAACCAACCAACTAATTGTCTCTAAGCCTTTCTGGTGCAAGTACAATTTACAACTGTCGTTGTTAGGCCATATAACCAAGGGAGGCCAATTTCAGTAAACAGGATTCATTCGCACAATGTATTGCTTATACCCTTATGCATGGTCAGTAAAAGAATACATTTATGTAATACTAAATAATTTTTTGATTTGAAGTTTACACGATATACGGCTTTTCCATTGGACGAGAGGTCGGTCACATGACCGCACAATTGACGTTCATAAGTGTATGAACGACACAATTTGACGTTCATACGTTTTTCACGAGACCGTGTTCTTGAAATGACGTAAACACTGACGGACTACTTCCATATTCCTGGGGAAAACCCTGGGAATTCCCTAGCACGAAAACATGCATAAGCGTTCTTTCTGATCATTTAGAACCATTATTCTTGGTCTCAGCGTTTCAGTATACTTTGAGAAATGTCAGAGAGCGTGACTGCATGATTGTTCACGAATATCCTCGCTACGACCCATCCTAATGAACAAACGAAGAAATGCACATCTAAACTATCGTAGTATCGACTCGATCCGTGCCTAGGCTGACATTGACCGTCTCCAGCAATCTATGAATTTACCTTTGTATCTATTTGACGCATCTTTATTCACCTTTCAATGATAGGCCAGTTGATTAATGATGACTAACACATGTAACCGCCAAAGGTTCATCAACAACTTCGGAAATCTCTCCCGTCACATTTATCGTGTCGGCCATTTTGGCGTCTTGTACTTGATGTAAATGTATTACGACGCGCTGTCATTGTGACTGACTTACTGAGGTAGTTCTTTACAGACCTTTCTTATCTAATGAGGATATGATTTGAACACATGTGCTGCGTAAGATGTTTCAGGAGAGCAAGTTGTGCATCCATACGCCCATGTCACCTCTCTTTTTGAGGAACTATCTTACTCCGCGATATAGCTGGTTGTTGTATGGCTGTCAGTGTAAACATGAAGTCACTCGTACTAAATAAAATTGTGTTTAGATCTAGGCCTACATCTTTTGAGGTAAGAAATTGTGATAATTTTTTTATAAGAATTGACCTTCACTTTGTGTGAGTTCATTGGAGTATGAACCTTCATAGAGTGAGGGCCAAACATTGTATGAACGTCGTCGCAAGCTCCGACGTTCATACAGTTTGGCCCTCACTCTTTGTAGGTTCATACTCCAATGAACTCACACAAAGTGAAGGTCAATTCTTAAATGTACTTTTGAGACACACAAATACCTTGAATAAATGCTTGCAACAGGAATATCTGCAGAAACAAGAAGATGAGATCAACTCCCTGGCAGACTTGATAGAGGAACATGTGCGATCACGAAGGAAAGAAGTCCTGGGAGAGATAGAGACGTTAAAGACACACAACAAGACAAACTTCGAGGTGTTCCAGGGGCACCTCCAGTCCTACATCTCCACTGTCGACACCATCACTGCTGCTGCACATGCCTTAGATGGACAGAGCTTGGATACAGAGGAAGGACAGGCTGTGTTTGTACAGGTAGAGCCATGGCAGTGTTAATGTCGGTCAAGTGGGTAGGACTTTTTATACACTGCTTTATCGGCAATGTCGTGACGAGGGAACCAGGAATAGGCTTCACACACTGCACCCATGTGGACAATCCTTTCCATGTATGTCGTCACGATATGGCTGAAATACTGCCGATGTGACGTTAAACTTTAACTCACTCACTCACTCACTTTCCATGTATGAAGTCGTGTTGGTATGGGTAACATGTTAACAATATAAACTGCCAGCAAAACCACGCATTATACAGTAAACTACGTTTATAACGAACACGCTTATAACGAACTGACCGATATATGCTTTAGTCCCGGGCATTTGTTGAAAAATGCTGTATATTTGCTTATAACGAACTACGGTAAATACGAACTAAAATTAATGGCCCCTTTTTTGTTCGTTCTTATCGTAGTTTACTGAACTTACAAACGTTATCAAATTGTTACTAGGCTGATTGCCGCAACACTGCAAATCTAGATACCCGTATCAAATACATAACCATCGAATAACTATATCCTCTTCGTTATATTCATCATCAAACATTGGTGTATACTTTCTTTTGCCCGACAGTACATTACAGATTTTCAGTGTAGACGTAAACATTCACATGCACATACACACGATGTTCGTTAGGCTAAAAGTAAATTTTATGTTTTTATTGCATTTTGTTTCTTTGTAACTGTAAGGCACCTGTGCTTTAAGGTAATTTGAGATCTTTGTTGCGTTTTATTATCATACAGTGTGCACTGATGACATGAAAACACATAATTTGCAGGTGGCAGAAGATGTCTTGGTACAGACAGTGCAGTGAGTATGACATTTTCCACACTCAGGTCGCTAGAAGCCACATTAGAGCTACAATTCAAGTCTTGATTATACAAAAATGTATATACATAAGAGCAATATTGGTACACCAAATTATGAAATTTCCAGGGTTGAACTTGATCATGATTATTTTACACCACCCTGATAATGTTCTTAATGTTCCTAATCTTGGGGACCGCCTCCGTGGTCTTGTGGTAGAGCGTCCGCCCGGAGAGCGGAAGGTCCAGGGTTCGATCCCGGGCCGCGTCATACAAAAAGACGTTAAAAGATTGTACTTGTTGTTACCCTGTCTGGCGCTCGGCATTAAGGGGCTAAAACAAGGACTGGTCGGCTCGAAGTCAGTATACTGTGTCTGAGTGGGGTATTCATGTTAAACTGCGGCATGGTATCTCAGTGAGCTAGCACTATAAATCGGCATCAGTCCGGACTAGTACAAGCAGCCAAACAAACACATACACGTGCATGCACGTCGCTATATAAGTGCAATAATCTTGGACGCGACGTTAAACCCAATTTCACCTCACCTCACCTAATCTTGGGTTATTAAAGAGCAAATTCAAGTTAACACGTTAAGGTTAATATAATCTTTATGGATCAATTGTTACCTCACGTTTCATACGAAGGACAGAGAAACAAATAGTTTGATTCATCTCCTATGCCACACAGTTGTCAGAGTGGCCATTGTCTTTCAGTTAATGGTATTTAGCAAAGTCTCCAAACGTTTCCATCTGGGTTGAGTAAATAGTGTTTTAACCAATTATATACATGGCTCCTTTGGAAGATGTATCTCTCGCAACTATCCAGGATTGCAACTGGATATCATTTAGCTTATCCCTAACTATATCTTTCAAGATAACGTAATGTGTTCGGATATTTATGCGTTCATGACCCGTGACGATCCGGGATAAAACGGATCTTCAGCAACCCATGCTTGTTGTAAGGGGTGACTATGCTTGTCGTAAGAGGCTATCAACGCGTATCGTATCCCAGTTGCGTAGGTCTATGCTAATTCTGTCAATCAATGTAGTTACGATTGATTAAAGACTGCTGTCGGCGTTAAACAACAAACAGACAGACACGCGTTCCTGCCTGAAGTCGCCTCTACTTGCACTTATCGTCATGAAACATTGGCACTCACATTGTCCAAGTTGTGAAAGACGTGGTTTTTCATTTCATTATTTTATTCTTCTCATGGACAAGTTATTAAAGGAAGCAGGGTTGGGATGAATTCCACGGTATTCTCAGACCTTTCTACATACATATTATTTGGCACACATATATAGTATTAACCATGATTTTACCGTAAATAATGAGCGCTTCTCACTACAATTCTAGACTGCCGAGAATTGGTGGCATAACCTACACGTGCGATGTGCCCAGAGAAAACTATAGAAAAGAATTTGCAGAAAACCTAAGACGTGAATTCATGACACTATGTGGAACATGTGTGGCGCCGACTGGTTTGGCATTGACCCCTTGCAAGGAAAACAGATCGATGCGTGAGTAATATAGGGGCTACATGTACAGTATCACTTGATCTTTGACTGCATTTGTACCCTTTTGCTATTTTTGGGATTTAAATAGAAAATGTTCCTGTTTCCATGGCAACAAGTTTGACCCTGACTCCGTTCATAGTGGTGTGTTTGTCCGGTCCATATCTCTAAAACTGACCAGTACCCTTTCTTGAAACTGTGCACATACAAAGACCTGGGTGTCGTACTAAACAACCTTAGCGCTACGACTGTTGTGAGTCTATGTTAAGGTATGGGAGTTACGATCACCTTAGCGCTAAGTTCGCTTTGTACAACGGCACCCAGTTAGTGTCTTTTGTTACGAGCCTCTGGCCGTCAGGACTTTAGTCAGGTTTATTGGTTCCTCCCATGTCACGCCAACACCGAAATACTGTTCTAACCCGAGTACAACCTAACTCAAAAATAATGTGGTATCCGGGGTTGAACAGATCTTCTGCAACCCATGCTTGCCGTTAAAGGCGACTATGCTTGTCGTTAGAGGCGACTAACGGGATCGGGTAGTCAGGCTCGCTGACTTGGTTGATGCTCACTCTCTTCTACTTCATTATTTAGAGCCTAGCCTCGTGGAACAGGATGTTTCTATCGGCGAAGCCCAACATGTTGACAACAGAAGTAATGCTGCAAGTAAACATACTTCCACTGCAGATAACATGTTCACCACGGGTTTGTAAACACTCTTCTTCGCTTATACACTGACCAACTCAAGTGATGAAGGCGTCAGAAAAATGTATATGGTTTCAAATTCGGGAAAGTTCCTGTGGGACTTTATTGATTTTCTTCAAAATACTTTTATATGTGTCATATTATGTTCATGTCCACAAACCAACTCGTGCCTTGCCAGGAACCACAAGTCGTGAGTTTGAGTCCCGTATCAGCCTGGTTCCCTGGCTGTGCTGCGCCTGCGCTACAGTGTAGCGCCAGCGCAGCAATCCCAGGGAACCTGTCTGATCCCGTATTAGCCCGAATTATGATCCTTTGACTGTCAGGACTGCAGTCATTCGCGTGGGTTCAACCTGCTTCTCGTCGTTTCCACCCGGATACTGTTCGAGGCAGCGTAAAACTAACACCTAGTTCTTATCATCTTCTTTATTTAGAGCCGAGCCCAGTGGATGATGATGACGATGATCAGTGGGTGACCGAAAGTGACACCGGAAGTGAATATAGCTCATGCGCCGAGAACGCCATCATCTTCACAGGTTTGTTGCCAACACCCTTCGAGGGGCGGTCGGGTAGCCTTGAAGTTAAAGCGTTCGCTCGTCATGCCGAAGCCCCGGGTTACATTCCCGACATGGGTACAATGTGTGAAGCTAATTTCTGGTGTCCCCCGCCGTAATATTGCTGGAATATTGCTAAAAGCGACGTAAAACCATACTCACTCACCCACTCCTTTGGGAAAATTATTTATGGACAACCTCGTGATAAAATACTTTGCAATCGTGTTAATATTCTTTAATTCCACAGTGAAAGCAACCTACTCTGACCTTGTGTCTACCCGTGAAGATCCGGGTGGAGAATTGGTCATCCGCAACCCATACTTCCCGTTAAGAGGCGGCTATGCTTGCCGTAAGTGCCGACTAACGGGATCGAGGGCCAGGTTCGCTGACTTGGGTGGTGCATATTACAGTATTCCAATTGCCTGGATCGATGCTCATGATATCAATCACTGGATTTTCTGGTCCAGACTCGATTATTGACAAACCGTAATATAGCTGGAATATTGCTGAGTGCTGCGTGAAACATCAAACAAACAAATTAAGAGTTTGGCACTGTAAACATCCATAAGGTAAACAAGTTCAACTGTCATCTAACATTTCCATACATTTCATCAGGAAGACGTTTCGTGTGGGATACACTCAACTGTCACTCGTCACTGGCTGTATCGGAGGACCGTTTGAGGGTGACAGATGAGGCCGAGGACATTCAGGGACCAGTAAGTGTCAACCAGGGCAGTTGGATCCACGTACGTGGAATAGCTGCAAACACAGTTTTCGAAGAAGGCAACTTCTATTGGGAGATCTCAATTACGCTCAGCCTGATTTGCAGTTTCTACGGCCTTCGCATGATAACAGATCTCGGAATATGCAAATCTGGAAAGGAAGACGTGTATTCACCGTTGAGTAGAAACTACTATTGCTACTGCTGCAGTCTCCACAAGGCATCAGACTCACCAGGTGTCGTCATGGAGTTCTGGGATGGTTCAATGAGGACGATGAGCGAGAGCATGACATGCCGATGTGCTATAGAAGAAAGTAACAGCGAGTCTCTCAAACTCGGGTTCAATGTCGACTTCCAGAACAAGATGTTCAGGATCATTGATGTCAATGAGAATATAGTTCTCCATACCTTCGAGAACATGAGCTTCCCACAGGTCACTGCGGTGGCGTCTATTGAGAATGGACACAGGGTTATGACGAACTTGGAATTGGATTCTGACGTTGGTGTGTTTCCTTCCATACTTTGAAACTTGTATCTGCGGCTTTGATGTATGAATTTATCACTATATGAGTATGAGCATTTCCTTATGCATGTGTTGTAGGTAGAGTGCATGTCTTAAAGGGGGTGGGGGCGGTCGGGTAGCATAGTGGTTGAAGCGTGCGCCCGTCACGCCGAATAACCGGGTTCGAATCCCGACATGGGTACAATGTGTGAAGCCCATTTTTGGTGTCCCCCGCCGTGATATTGCTGGAATATTGCTAAAAGCGGCGTAAAAACCATACTCACTCACTTATTGTGATTGTGTCCACTCAACGTGATGAAGATGTTTAAGCTTTACGGCGTAAAGCCGGCCCTGACGCACATGTTTGCACATTGTAGCAACATATTTATTGCATCTGAACATGTTCTTCATGATGTTGTTTTGGGCGGGGTGTAGCCGAGTGGTTAAAGCATTCGCTCGTCACGCCGAAGCCCTTGGTTCGATTCCCCACATTGTTACAATGTGTGTATCCCGGCGTAAAACAATACTCTCTAGCTCAGTGGGAGTGCACTCGTCTCTTGCAATGGAGAGCACACCTAAAAAGGCAAGTATATATATATATATTTATTGAGTCCCCTAAATTCTTACATCAATGTTGAACACTCCTGGACAGCTCATCGACATTTATTCCGCTAATTGTGGTTTGGATGAATTCAAAGACATGAGACTCAGGCGTACACTCATACAGGACCACCTGTCCCTCCACGCATATAGCTGTACCACTGTTAATAAGTAATAGACCGCCTCCGTGGTCGAGCGGATAGAGCGTCTGATCAGAGAGCAGAAGGTCGTGGGTTCGATCCCCGGCCGCGTCATACCGAAAGACGTTGAACGATGGTACTCTATGTTATCCTGCCTGGTGTTCGGCATTAAGGGGCTAAAACTAGGACTGGTAGGCTTGCAGTCAGTATAATCAATGATGGCTTCTCGGACTTTCGCCTGTTACTCATTGTCGTTGCTGGTCAATGATCAAACCTGATCGTGTTAAATTATTAATTCCTATCCTGGAAATAAATTACTTAAGACTTGAACGTCAGTTATGATGGGTTCATTGAAGTGTTAACGATTTTAAAGCTCTGGTTAAACTATGTGAACCTCCGAGCTGTGTAGTTTACTGAATAATATCGTAACAATGTTTGCTTAAATTTGAAGTCCTCTGGTTTCTCCGAAGAACATTCACCTGCGTTATTAGTTTTGATAGATAGCCGTTCCATATCCACATTACCATGAGGACAATCCATTATGTTTCACGTAGTAGCTGTACACGACATCAAACACTAGACCCAACGCATTTATTTATTTATAAGTCAGATGAAATGTTACAAGACCAGGCAAAAAGTCTAACTTAATTATATTGCTGATAAATGCATGGATTAAACAGAAAATAGAAAAACGAGTTGTTTTTTTGTAAACACCGATCGAGAATTCGGGGACCCCAGCATTACACCACTGCCACGGGCTAAATTGCATATCACGTGATTGGACTGTTCTCTTGTTTGTAAACAAGCGCGTTTTTTCAGAAATCAGAATATAACGGACTCGTGCAAGTATTTGGGGGCGCTTTACATATTGATTTGCATAATTATATAGATATGCTATTACAACTGCGTCAGTGAGTTGCATGACAATACATATTTACACATCACAGTGACTTATCGCTAGCTCTCCGTAGGGCTTCAATTCTTCGCCTTCTTTTATTTACGACTACTCCATTTAAAAGTCTGTATGCAAACAATGTCATAAATTATCGCTGAACTACATTCAAATCGGACAAACTCAGCATATGACTGCCTTGATAACACTCTATATGACAAATTGACATTGCCTCTACTTTGGATGAGGCTTTATCAAATCATATATTGGGGGAAAATGCATAACATGTGTACATGCATTTATAGTTATATGTACACACACAAATATTAAGTTGGAGTAAATTATTTATTTAAGGCATCTTAATCAATTTGACATCAGAACAAGGAATACATTTTGAATTAATACACAACGTAATTGAAAAGAGGAACACTATATACTTTAGTTATGCTACACGCAGTCAAAATGTGACGTTATTGAATGTCCTTACTTTTGAGATCTTCCCTCGTTCATAAAGTTAAAGATGGCGGACAGAGGTTAGTCGCTGGAAACTAGGGGGCGTGTATTGAGTTCGATCGGTGGAGGTAAGACGTTACACGTGCTTAAAGAATGATAATGTGGCATATGTAGCCTAGTATGCATCGCCACGGAGAAAATACAGAATCTGATGCATTTCAACTCTAAAAGGTTCAACGGTTGAAGCGGGTGGGTGGGTCCTAACACTCATGATCAGTCACGGGGCGACATTGAATGTGCTGTCATGTGAGTCGTTGTACCTGGCCGAACATGTGTTATGAAACTACAGCGTTGTTAACGTATATGCAAGGTACATATATCCACTCTTAGCGAGTCCTTTGATATAATCTTACAACTGACAAGTTCTTACCTGTACAACTATCATTGGTGTCCCCAATTCTGAACCGAAAGTTTCGATTTTGTCAGTCGTTTGTGATTGGTGTTAATGTCGTTGTGTACAGCGTACTTGTATTTTACCAGAAATGATTTAAGATATCTGTTATTGCATAGAGGTAAGAAACAGATAAGTAACACCTGCTACAGGATTTGATAAATCCCCAAGAGAGGAGACATAAACTCGAGTTAGTCTTTTACATAGAGTTACCTCCCTTTCACCACCGTAAGTCATATACAGGGATTTGCATGATAACAACTTATCTATTTCTTGGGTGTTTCGAGTCGGCCGGGAAATAAGTACTTGTATCACGGAAGGCTTATAATATCGATGATTGTTATACTTTCGTAAAGAGTGGTGTTACTGCATCTCAAATGGTGAGTGTGAAGTAATGTTATTTAAGGCCGCACTTGGCAATATTCCAGCAATATCAAGGCGGCCTGCAAATATTCGACTCTGGTCCAAGCAAACCAGTGACTGAGAGCATGAGCATTGATCTGCACCACCGGGGCAAAGTGGCACACAATCAACCAAATCACCGATGCTGAATGCCAGATTTATTTTAGTCGGCTGGTCAAAACGGTAGTGAAATGAGATTAACCGGAGCATGGAAGGCCGGTGATTCGATAGCCATTTGTGTCATACTTGTTGTTACCCTGCCTGGCGCACATGAAGGGGATAAAATAAGGACTCGTCGTGTCGGAGACCATATATACTGTGAGTACGGTATCCGTGTTAATACTGGGGCATGACATTTCAGTGAGCTAGCATTATTAAACCGGGTAAAGTTATTCATGCACGTCTCTATATATAAGTGCACAAATCACGTCACCTTTTGTACGGGGAACATACCATATATTGTGTCGAAACTTTAAATTTAATTTAGTTATTCAAAATAAATTCAATATCTTATGCAGCTGTGACATATACACAATATCGAATTGAGTTAATGGTTAAAAAAATAGGTTCATTTTCGTGCGAATATCCTTATCCAAACTTGAGTTGCATACTTACATGTACTTATGTTTGCCTTTATAGTGTAAAGTGCTGAAAACTATGATTTCATTACAAAAAGATCTTCTGTCCGTCACATTGGCAGTATCATTCTTGTTAATTTTGTTTTGATTTATAACAGTATATACCATCTGCAAATTGCAGAATGATTTCAAAAGTACATATACAGCTCTCGGTAATGTTGAAACTGCAATTAATAGTGACTAACTCTGTGAAGATTAGATTTCACTGGACTGTAAGATTGGTAACAGTCGGATTCCCTGAGGTGTTCAACCTGCTGTGTTCACGAACACGACATCGAGTGAGTGAATGAGGCAGTGAGTGAGTGATGTTATCACTTAAAAACTACCCGTATGCCTACACGTATGTCACAACCGGCGAACATTTATATGTGGCCTTCTATGATTTGTCTCTAAATTCCGAAAAAGGGGGGTTTCTAGGTTTGTCAGCGCCATATCCGTGCTCGTGGGTTTCACCAAAGTGGTAAACGTCTAAGACGGGCTTTCCTCCCACATTAAGCTGACACGCCGTGATGCAACTGGAATACTGTTAAAAGCGCCGTTAAACACAACTCACTCACTCACTGAAAAAAGGAACAGAATATTAACCAAACAGAAATATATATTTAACTGAAAATACTTTTAAACGAGGAAGCCCGTGTTAGTGTAAATAAAAATACTGACCTACATACTGGTGAGGGAGTTGTATGTGATAGCGATTATTTGTCTTAACATGATACTTTTGATATTGAGTAGTGCATGTAAATAAGGAAGGAAACAATACAATGTATGTAGTAGTTGCAACACTACCATTATGAGCATCGATAGTACTTCAGATGTTTTGGGCAATTTGTCCCTTCTAATACTTAAACAGCATCTAGGAACTCAAAATTTGTAGTCATTTAAGAAAACATTAAATTGACTGAACCAAAAAAAACATATAGGGAATTTTAAGAACTAACCTGAGGGTCAAAAGAAAGTATACCAAGTTTTATTTTTATGTAATTGAAATTAAAAGGACTGTTGTTAACTTTGGTTATGTTTATTTAACCGTCCCTCATTCCTGCAACAGTTTGTTAAAAGTAATCTTTGGCTGGGTAATTTTGTGAAATCATAAACTGGTTCAATTAAGACTAGCGTAAGAAAAGAACCGCATGCCCCCTACCAATTTGAAAGGTTGAAATTTGTGCCGAAAAAGCAAATTTATTGATTTTCAAAGATAAATCAGCATTAATTTTGTGTATTATGTGAATTTTATTTTTTTAATTTCATTGTTATCATGGAATGTGAACACATTGAGATTACATTTTTGGACGAGAAAATTATAAAGCAAGGAGACCAATTGAAAACGGATGTTAACTGCAAGCTTACGGACACGCATCAGTATCTGCAATTTAATTCATGTCATCCGCGGCACACTAAGATTAATATGCCATATTCAATGGCAAGAAGAGTTGTAGTATTGGTTCGAATGTGGACACAATAAGCCTACGATTAGAAGAATTAAAGACCTATCTACAACTAAAGCTATAATCAAATGAAGTAGTTGAAGACGCTGAAAATAAAGCTATGAGAATCCCACGAGAGACACTGATGAAAACGACGACTAAAACGACGAATGGGTTGCGACGACCTCAGACCATATCTTTAGTACACTGTTTACTCAAGAGTTATCTCAACCAGCTAGTATTTAAGTTATTGGCTACTCGTGTTTCACAAAGGGACATTTACATAGAGGTGATCATTAAGATCCCATTGTCATTATTATTTCAGGACAGCTATTCACAAAGAGTGTTGGAAACATGTCTTCAATCGAGAGCGAGCTGACCTGCTCGCTTTGCTTGCAGATATACCAGAACCCAGTCGTGCTGTCATGCATGCACTCGTACTGCAGGGAGTGTCTCAAAGATTTACATTCGAAGTCAAAGACAGATGTGACATCTAGTGGTTTGTATTTTTACGCGTTTATGTTATTAAACGTATAAATTTTGTATTGCCAATCGGTTTATCCATACATTTGTATGAAATTGTAACATGCTACATAAGAAACAATAGCTCTTCTCATGTCCTTGGTTTTGCGGGCACAGGAAGGAACAAAGTGACCTGCCCCGACTGTAGAGGAACTACGCTCCTGGGACCAGATGGAGTTGATGGACTTCAGAAAAACTTCATCGTGGCTAACATAGCAGCTAAATTCAAGGAAACATCCTTGGTTGACTCCACCACTTGTCCAACTTCTTCAACTCCACGCTTAGAAGTACACGACCAAAGTCATGGAAAAAAGACCCAGTCTGTATATTGCCTTGCATGTGCAAAGGTTATCAAGATTTCAGACGAACAAAACTCTACCCATTGTTATCATGTTACTCAAGACTTGGAAACGACCATCAGCCAGAAAAGGGTGGGTTATTTCCATTTCTCTTGATATAACACAGTGCATTTGTATTGAAACATTGTGCGGAATATGTTTCGTTTCTTAATTGTTTTAGTATAATGGGTCATTATAAAAAATTGTAACCCTTTTGGCCCTGTTGAATAAACAAACATAACACTTGAAAATCCCAAATTTTAGTGACTTAACAAGAAACATCTAAACTTGACAGATAATTTGGTAAATTATGCCAACTGAAAATGTAAAAGTACCTCACGTTTAATATCACCATGATATAAAGCCTGGTCTTTCGCACTTTTTGAGAGAAAAAACAATTATTGATCATTTTCTCTTCTCTGTGTACCTCACACAACAAAAAATGTTTGATGTAATTTCAATATTCTCTATTTATTGAACATGTTCTTTGTACTTATTGAAAGTTCTGCTATGCAATGTGTGTTTACCAAAATTATTTGAGTATGTCCTCTTGTAAAACCAAGGACAACACGGTTACACCGAACACAAAACAGTTACACCATGGACATTACAATTATTCATCACCGCTTTTCTTTCACTTCACAATATACAATGAGAAGGAAATGATGCACTGTTTGGTGTTGCATAATTACAATGGCACAATCCATTTTTCACAACGTTTACTTTGAATTTAATAATACTGACTTGTAACACTGAGGACATATTCAGTAACCCCAAAGACATGTCGTGATTATAAAGGGACTTAAGCTAAGGTGTTTTCATAGATTTAAGTGTTAATATGAGTTAAGCGTTGTAATTACAATGAGACAAAACATGTTTTACCCACTAACACTAACTACAAAGTTAATACTTGCTAACTTGTGGTAACATCAAGGGCATATTAGGTAGCACCCAAGGCATTTAGCTTCATCTAACCCTAAGTTAGAGAGTTTTAATAACAATAGAAGTCATGTTTACCCATTGCCCATTCAACGTTAATACTTGTTGACTTGTGGTAACACCAAGGACGTATTAAGTAACACCAAGGACATTTTGTCATGATACAGGCAACACCGTTAACAGCACCACGAAAGACATATTTTCATTCAACATGAAATTAAAATACAAATGACTGCTCCACAAAGTTCATGACCAGGGCATATAACTCTTCTTTTATGCATTTAAGGGTTTTTCTAAATAAACTAGTTTTGTTTTTATAACAAGATTACATCAAAGACATGTATTTTCTTTCATATGGTGATGTTTGGTGATACATTTTTCCAGTTTGAATAACTTTTTCAGTGGACTCAAAAATCTTGTCTCCATAGAAGACAAGAATTGATATCACAAGGGAGCATTCATTTGCCTTCTTTCAACATAAAGATGGATAACACTTATACCTTATTAAGCACATGGTAACACCAAGGACAGATCCTTTTAGACAGGCATGCTTTACTAATTTTCTATTATCAAGAGATAGAAACAAAGTGGAAATTATGTTCATATTAAAGATTCCAATCTCATTAAATTAAAAACTCATATATATTATAAATCTGAAATATGATCACTGTAAAAAGCATTCCGTGTCTACTGACAGTGATATTTCAACACTTTCAGACTATATACCACTCAACCACAAGCAATTAAAGCACTGACAAAGCAAATATTTGAAATATATTTTAATTTGGTTCACCACTGAAATATTAAGGATGAAAGTTAAGGACTATCTTAAAGGTTATGAAAGATAAAAAATATTGACATAAAATGGGTACATATTTTGATAATGACCCGTATACTGATAATTAATTGTTCTTGCAGGCCAAACTTTCCACATGCATCAAAGAACTTAGCAAAGGCCGAACTCACGAAGGCCAAAAATTACAAGCTGCGACAGCAGAGCATGGTGCAATAGAGGTAAACCTATGCATACATGTGTGTTTGCGTGAGCGGTGCGTGCGTATGTATGAGTGAGTGAGACTACTTAAGTCTGAGGTTTCGTATTTTGTCAGTCAAGAAAAACCAAGCAAAAACTAATACACAATTCTGGAACCCTAGAACCCTAGTAGTGCTTTTTCCTCCATCAAGAATAGGTTGTAATCGTCATTCTCACATCTTAATGCCACTGTACGAATAATAACTATTTGGTAAGATAGAATAAATAAACTTTTTGAGACACTTTCATGTTAGATTATCTTTTCTTTTAAAAGGAAGATATGTCTAAGCAGCAAAATATGATTGAATCGCTGGAGGATATTCTAAAAACACGGAAAGTCGAGGTTTTGGACAGGTTTGAGACTCTGAAAAGGCAAAACGATGCGTCCTTAACTGACTATCAGCAGCATGTTAAGGCCTACATCTCCACTGTCGACACTATCTCAGCATCAGCACGTGCACTTGACGAACAGTGCTTGGGCGAAGAGGATGGGCTAGCTACGTTCATACAGGTACATACAAGAAATGGGTATGTTCATGTAGAACTAACTATATATGAATGCAATAAGTGTTATATTTAGAGAGGTATACTTGGCCAGTATAGCCCAAACTGGCAGATTTAAGTGAACAACCGAAAAGTATATATAATAATTGATTTTGACCAATAACTGGGAGTCTTCTTCCAAGAAACAACAAGACCCGTGTAGACCATTACTGTGAAATGCATATAAGTCATTTTAGGAAAGATATTAATTTGAGTGTTGTAATATTCCTGCTGATCCAACCCTTGGTGTCTACATTTCACAACGTTTGAGGTACAATCGAGCATGCTTTTTCTACCAAGAGTGTCATACAACTCTTGCTCAGAAGCTGTTTGATCAGGTTACTTTCAAAATGTTTTATGGTAGACATGTGGAGGACATTTTCAAATTTGACGCATCAGGGACAAAAATTATGTCCGTTGGAATTCCATTTTTTACTTGAACCATATGTTCCCGTGTTTTTTCAGGTGAATATATGACTTGCCTTTGCATGTGTTTCTGACGGGTGCCACCGGTTGGGCAGTATACACTCACCTTTTCACCAACACCTGTATCATCAGTATTTGATAGTGGTTCATAAATACATGCTCATGATGTAGTCGGAATCGTACAATCGACTGTTTCGGGCAGAGATTTCTTATGGCTACGGGAAGGTTTTGTCGCTTTCATTTAAATTCATCAATGATCGATTTTATTCAAAACGGATATTATTCGGTTCCACTGACCATTACACTGGTTCCCGAGAATCATTAAATCTTTCCTCAACGATCATATTTATGATCTTACTTTATTGCTGAACATTCCTCTGTATGGGACATTTTAGAAACTCAGAATGTATTTAGTGAGCAAAAGGAATTTTCTTGTTACTTAATTTGTCCCATATTAACCAGTTACCAGGAAATGTGATACCTTCAGCTTGTGAACATGTTTATTTGATTTCTGAGACACAGACAATTTACAATGTATTCGCCACAGCATCTGCTATTGTCAAAGCTTTCTAATGTATACGGAAAGGGGTTTGTCGCTTTTATTTCCAGATTGCTGACGACATCATGACACAGATATGTCAGTGAGTGATGTTTTATGAATTGGTTTCAATTGAAACGCTTAACGTCATTGTAATTACGTCGCATTCAATTTGAATTGAAACAAAAACCATTCAAAGAAACATTTATAAGCAGCATACACATAAACCGGTTCATTAAATGTTTGAAGGATCCCTGAGACAACCAAGTATTCGCCCACCTTCATCGCACCTCCAAATGGTGAAAGAGAGAGAATTGCAAAGGAACTTGTGGATCATTTGAACAATTATTGTGGAATTGGAGACCAGACCCCGTCTTCTGAGGCCATGTTGGTACCCTGTACACAGGTGAATCGTGGTATGTAAATATTACAAATAATTACCAAAAAAAATACTTACATTTCTGCAAATAAATTCTGAATTTAGGACCGTGAATCTATCCACAATGTTCGTAATACATATATCTATAGGGTCAGTGTTACCAATGTTAAGTAATTACTATAGACTGCCTGTGACGGGTGCCATCTGTGGGGCAGGTTACACTCCCCTTTTTGCGAACACCTGGCGTCATCACTGTTTGATGATGATTCATGAACAAATCCTCGTGATATGGTCGGAATCGAACAGTTGACTGTTTTGGGCAGATATTTTTGGTGGAAGGGGTTTTGTCGCTTTTATTTATGTTACATACATCTTTTTCTGAATAGTTGTGCATGATACAAATAGATGGACATTTTTCTCAAAATTAGTTATTATTATTTTTTTTCCAAAAAATCTCTCTCTCTCTCTCTCTCTCTCTCTCACTCTCTCTCTCTCTCTCTCTCTCTCTCTCTCTCTCTCTCTCTCTCTCTCTCTCTCTCTCTCTCTATATATATATATATATATATATATTTGGATGTACAATATTTTAAGATGGCATATACTTTTTTCTACACAGAGAATAGTTAGGACAAAGAAGAAGAAAATGATTCCCTATTACGGTTGCACACTGTACAAAGTCTGGTATTCATACAATTTCAATACAAACCTTATTAGAGGAACATCAATTCTTTGAAAGAGCACGAGTTTTAGACTTTAATACCAAACAGATGCACTGTTCTGCATAAATATGTTTGACACATTTTATGATATACTACTCAAAGTTTGCCATGGATCAAGTTTTTATATAAAAAAAAATCATCCAACAAATTAAGATTGTAATATACCGTACACAGGGATTGGGTAATCCCTACAGGACCTCAATTTCATAATAGACGGACAGAGGCATGCAGGTGTTTGAAAACATGTGCTTGGATGTATAATGAGAGAATCGTTTCGCACCATTATTAAGAGCACAACAACATTGGTTACTGAGGATTGCAACAACTGAATGTCCTCTCAGCGTCAAAAACGTCGTTTGACGACCGAAGAATTAGGCAGATGCATACGCATGCTTTAAACTGGGTCAACACAAAGCCACGTTGCAAACGTCTTTGGTGTCACCCAAAGTGTGATCAGGAGGGCATTGAATCAATACCAGACGTTTGGATCAGCAACCCAGCCACATTCAGGTGGTCAACAGCATATCACCACACAGCGTTAAGACAGGTTTCTCCAGATTGCAGCAAGACGTGACTGCGTGACTGCATGACTGCAGCTGCCACCCGCGGAACGCTAGTGGCGTTTACGTTTCTACTCAGAGTCTCGGGTCAAGGCATCTTCCCTAGGCAAGGGAGTTAACTGACTGTAAAAGTCCAGTTTCCACCCTTGCCGAACTAGGCTGGTATTATGGAGTGACATTTTGGCTGGACTAACGAGTTTATGCATAGTCCAATCAAAATCGCTCACTGAAATCGGAATCCGGTTAGTAAACTGTCATGCAGATTTCCGTCGATTTGCAAAGCATGTGCACCACCAGCTCGTTGTCAACAGATATTTTCCAAGTCATATCACGTTTTTAATCGAGGTGCTCACGTGATTTGATGCACTTCGCGAGGTAAGACCCGTGTTATCACAATATAGATCTTGATTATCGATCAGATCGTCTTGACTTGGCGCCGCCATTTTGTGTGAAACAAATACAAGTGATACGAGAGGTGGTATCTGATTGGTCCATAGGAGAGGCTTACAAGGGACATAACTGGTAATAATCACTGGTGGCGCTACGATCGAGTCCAGGAATTCCAGCCCATTTCGGCAAGGGTGGAAACTGGACTTTCACAGTCAGTTAACTCCTTTGCCTCCGGAAGATGGGGTCAAGGAGGGCATGCATTTGCATTCCACTGACCCGACATCACAGGCAGACACGTTTGGAATGGGCTGACGATCACGTCAATTGGACATACCAGCGCTGGGCTCGAGTACTTTTCAATGATGAATCGAGATACTCTCTCAGTTCAAAGATCGTCGTGCGCGAGTGTGGTGTAGACAAGGAGAAAGATTTCAAGATTCCAACGTAGCCGAAAATGGCACCGAGGACTTCATTCTCATGGACACCCGATCTCATCGTGCCAGGGTCCATTGGAGACCATTGTCTGCATGGAGTGGCCGGCCCGTTCACGTGACTCCAACGCTATCGAACACACGTGGAACGAGCTGCAGGTCGCCCTCTCATGACGTGTACAAGAACTCGGCAATGCTCTTACTGAAGAGAGGTTAAATGTTCCCTTGGCAACCACCAAGACACTTATTTGGAGCATGGGACGACGGCGCCAGGCTGAGATCGCATCACTTGGATTACATTCGCGCTAAAGAGTTGTTTTTTATACAATGAATTTGTTTTCGTGATTTTTTGACGTTTCAGATACTGAGATACTCTCATTTTGATCTGATTTGATTTATTATTGGTCACATGTTGTTTGATTGCATTGTGTAGCAAATGACAACGGACCTCTTTTCACTAAACATGTCTTCACGCAATATTGTCTTTGGTTATTTCAACAGATGCAAGTAAGTTGGCGTATGGCCTTTTAAAGTGGTGATCCTTTGCAAACTTTGAGTAGCATACTTAAATGTATTCAATGAATATAAAACGATTGACACCAGTTTTGCAATAACATAACCTTTGTGCGAAAGAGTAAATAAAATAAAAATTTACATTTTGTTCATTCCATACATGGCCATAACCACATTTAAACAATAGTTGCCTCACAATTGTAACCCAATTTCTTTGTTCATATAAATCATACAATTTAGGATACCTGATTGGTATATTCGTAACCAGTATTCTATAAGCTTTGATATAAGGGTAAATGTATATAGGATACCAGCCACATTCACCATATACCGTAGCTTTTTGTGTATTTGTCTTTAAACCTTTTGCAAGCATATCAATGCACCTCTTCTAATATCTCACAATTTGTAAACTCCCCATACTCCCGCCTGATGTAATAATATAGGATTTATTTGCATATCAAATACTTAAGTGAATGCTTTATAGCCTAATTGTCAAAGGGCGTATGCACTTTTGAATATTCCTGATAGTATCCTAATGGAGGCTTGTGATGCACAAGAACTCCCAGACAGTTAATATGTGCCATATTTAATGTATACTGACATATTTATAGACTATGTAATTTCTAAAATGCCACCCTCATAAAACCATTTTCATTTCTATATAATTTACCACTCTTTTCGAAACTCATTTGCATATATTATACTTAACGGTTTAGTGATTTGATGACTAAGACCATATTCGAATAAAAAAATCCACAAACTTACTTCTGTAGGCAGAATCAAATTTTTTAGATTTAACACATCGACAAAGTGTAACATATCCCACATTTGGCACCAACATATCTCTGAATGAGATAGAGCAGTATGAAGATATTATATTATCGATGTCTGTCTGTTCTTCCCTAAATCCTTCCCTTGTTTAATTTAGAGGCGATGCCAAAGATTGTTGGTGTAGAAAACGTCCCTTCCTGCGCAGAAACAGCGAAAGTTATAATAACTTGGTCTTCAACACAGACGCAAGAAGAATACAAAGTGAAGTGTTCAACAAGAACAGGGCTTGGAATCGTGAAGGAAGATTTTGAAGCCATTGTCATTGGCGATTCGTTTGAAATGGATGGTTTGCGATTTAAGACAGATTACGTTGCATCAATTCGTCCAAGCATTATGTCAAGCACGAGCGACACTGACGTTCACAACTTTACAACTGCAGATCGTATTTTCGGTGCGCCTAGATAGGGTTTATCATGTATTTCACTCAGTAGTGTCAGGATGGCTTAATGTCATTGGTCTTCGTTCGTTAGCACTCAACGTCTACATGTCTCTCTACAACAACATGAATAAATCAAAATTCACAAAATATGCCATATCTATCCAGGCGTCATTTTAAAATAGACAATCACTATAGGCACAGCGGAAACAAAATTAGTGAAATGTCACACCTTCCGGTCATAATATGGTCATACCGCTAAAGAATGGCTACGTAATACCCATCAGCTTAAGGTCTATTTACTGTAGCTGCATAGAGCCCCGTGGGCGTACCAGGATAGAACATTTGCAAGTCATAAGAGGCGACTTAATGGACAGGATGATCAGAATCGGTGACTTGGTAGATGGCGTTAAACCGTCGTCGTGAATCGTTCCTCATAACATCGATAACTGGATTTTCTGGTCCAGACTCGATCACTTACGGGCCGCCGCCATATAGCTGGAATATTGCTGAGTGTGGCGTTAAATTGTCGTTTTTGTAAAGTAGGTTTGTGATTTGTGTCAGGCCGTACTATGTATTATGTGCATGTAGTTATTAAAGTATTTGATAAATGCATGATGTTAAGGGTAGACAAACAATGACACCCCTGTCAAACCTGGGGTAGGTTTAGTTTAGTTACGTAGCATAAGTTGTTCTCCTGTTGTGACACTGAGTACATAGGGATAACATAGGTGACGTATCTTCATTTTGTATTGCTTTGTATTTTTAATTTATATTTTACAATCCGTATATATAAATATATTTACCGAATATATCATTACTAATTGTGCTTAAAAGTCAGTTAACAGATTTTAAAAACTTCTTTGTATCATACAATATTGTGTTTTTATTCAGGTGGGGATTTCCATTTTGATAATGAAAACTGTCACCCGGATTTGGCCGTATCATGGGACACTCGAACAGTGACAAGCGAAAAGTGGAAGCATAAGGAAATCAACGGATGTACCAGGACAAACCATGGGGACTGGACGAAGGTGTATGGGATAGCTTCAACTCTGATATTCAGAAGCGGTTGTCAGTACTGGGAGATCCTTGTAATGTTCACTGTCCTGAGGCATCTGAAAGACAACGATGTCATAACAAGTATTGGAATCTGCAAGGAGGGCAAGGAAGATTCCTATGAGCCACTGTGTGGTAGCTTTTACTCTCTCTGCTGTACACTCTTCAAGCAGCCGAGAAACTCAGCCATTGCTATAGACTTCTGGGATGGTCAGAAGAAGGTTACAAGTGAAGAGACACCAATTGGACACTTAAAACGGGGCAAGCCCCAGTCACTAAAACTTGGATTTTATCTTGATCTAAACAGTAAAGTGTTTAAGATCATAAATGTAGAGAAAAACAGCGTACTTCATACTTTTGACATAATAAAGTTCGATAAGGTCACTGCAGTGGCGTCTATTGACAATGAGGAAAAGGTCCGAACATCTTTAGAGTTAGATTCGTACATCGATACCGTTCCATCATCACTGTATCATTAAATGTGAAAGAGTTATTTCAGTCATCTGCAAGTAAAAGAAGAACTTTGGGAGTGTTTTACCAGGTTATTAGGATACACTGGGATTAAGACAGCTGTGATCAAACATGTGTTTAATTTGAGCAACGTTTCATACGTTTATAAGTATCACTTTAAAGAAGTTTTCCCTTACCACTGTTTTGTAGTGGTAGGCGCTATTGTCATCTTCACAGATATTCTTTGCCATGAATGGTTGGAACACTGATCTCGCATTCAGTTTGTTTAGAAAATATGTAGCCGAACTGCTTTAGTCCAGTTTTGTAAGATCACTTTGAAGCGGTCAGTATGAGCTTATGTCATTATTATCCGGGGCGTGGGATATTGGAACGGAGTTTGAACGTCTGTCCATCCGTCCGTCAGTTCGATTCTAAATGGGAACAAGTTTTCCAAAAATAAAAAAAATAGTTAGCGAAGTGAAATTTTGCACACTGATCTTAATGGTCACGATCTCAAAGAGTTCAAAAATTGGTATCTTAAAATTAAGTTTTGGCAGTGTTATGGCCCTTATGTCGTGCTTTTCAACTTGTGTGATACTGTGTGAAATGGGAACAGGTTTCCAGAACTACTGAAGTTACATAATGAAGCATGCTCATCTGGGAGATACTTATCAAGACTAAGTTCGAACATTTGTGCCGTAAATGATTTTTACACAGTTACAGCTCTTGATCCATGTTACTAATAGCATAATGGCTGAAACAGGGACAAGTTTCTCAGAAACTACTGAAGGTACATGAATGAAACTTTGCAAGCTTATCTAAGAAGAAGAAGAAGAAGAAGTTCATTCGGTATCAAAGGCCAAGAGTACAATACATGGGATAAAACTTGTGAACATGGACAGGTTGGACAAATGTTTTATTATCTCAAAAGACTATTTTTGATACATTATACAGGCAGATTTATTCAGCTTATCTAAGATATACTTATCAAGACTAAGTTCAAGAATTGGTGCCATAAATTACTTTTAGGGAGAAGGGTTTTTTGTGTGTATCATTTTCACATGTAATCATTTTTTTCTGATGACATAAATCAACCCTAGTGCCTATCTCTATCTCTCTTAAGGATGTATACTACTACTATATGAACAAACAATATTCTCATGTGCCCCAAGGCGGGGGAAAGTGATAACGCTGTTTTATTGTTGGCATTATTCCGTCGGTCGTCCCTTAGCGCTGAACTAGAACCCCATCACTTCCAAATCAACTGAACATACAAATGTGTCAATATCATATTATTAGTGTGTATCTTTATATGTCCCTGGCTACAACGAAATAAAGCTTTCATAAAGTATGAACAATTCAAATGGCTGAATTTAAAATAAAATAAATCTTTCATAAAGTATGAACAATTCAAATGGCTGAATTTAAAATAAAATAAAGCTTTAATAAAGTATGAACAATTCAAATGGCCGAATTTAAGATAAAATAAAGCTTTCGTCCCTATCTACTTCAAGCTACCCTGGTAATGATTACCATGATGAAATACGAGTCTTACCCTTTTCACAGACTGATGTTTCAATGTGTGGTCTAACATGGATGGAGGAAAGAGTAAAATTTGTTGTGTGACAGCTTATATTACTCCTTTTTTTGCATAACCTTTCTTTCCTAGTCTTGCAATAACTCAATAATTGTAACTGACATTTTGCTCATTTGTGATTCCTTCTGATTATTGAGTACGGACGTTGTTCGGAACACCCGATGATTTTACAAGAGATGATGACAAGTTGTAGAACATGCAGAAAAGGTTTCATAAGTTTGTTTGGAATATCAGAGTTTATTTGCATGTTTCCTTTCTGTAATCAGCTACGCTCAGCGGTTTTAGAATAATAGAACTCATGATTATGTTTGTTTGTTTGTTTGTTGTTTTGATCCGCACAAAGTAGTATTCCGTCTTTATTACAGGAGCCTGTAAACAATCGAGTCTCGGTCAGACACACAAGTGACTGATATTATGCGTAACATCCTTCGCCTTCTGGCACGATGACATGTAATCAACAACAAAGTCACAGAGCCTGACCATCCGTCCAATGTAATCGCCTCCAGCGATAAGACAACTTGTTACCCGGAATCAAACAAAAAGTTTGTTGAAAAGTTACTTTTTCTTGTCAGATACAATATTAGTTGATCAGTTATATATTTTACCGTAGCCACGTTTAATACATGCTTTAAACTTTCATTGGTTCCCTTTACGTCATACTACTCTTGCCTCAGTCAAGCTTTCAAAAAGTTTTATAGAAATGTTTTTGTCGTTTTTATTGATCATTTATCATCATAAAGTCTTGTATGTATAAAAAACAGCGTGAGTGGAACAATATGTTGGTCCAATGGGCCCGCCGCACAACGAATAAATCAAACCTTGATTTTTTACCAGCTCAATCTTGAATACTAATCGAAAATTCAAGATGACCTCTCACCAGGTTTTGGTTAATCCAATCCTACTCAACTGTTTAGATATAGTGTTTGTTTATTTCTTTGTTATAAAACGCCGCACTCATCAGTATTCCAGCTATATGACGCTGGTCTGTATATTATCGAATCTGGACCAGACAACCCAGTGATTGACATCATGAGCATCTATCTACGAAAATGGGATCGATGACATGCATTAACCAAGTCAACGAGCCTGACTACCCTATCCCGTTAGTCGCCTCTTACGACAAGCAGAGTCGCCTTTTACGGCAAGCATGATTTGCTTAAGACCTAGTTTACCCCGGATCTTCACGGTTGTAATTTGCCTAATAACGATAGCCGACAGTGTATTATGATATTCTCTCTGTATCGTGTAAGACTGCTTTTACATTGTGTGAGTGGCGGGTGCTACCGGTAGAGTAGAGCATGAATACCCTTTTGTTAACACCTGGTTTCGTCACTGATTATTGGTGATCCATTCATATACGTTTAACAACTATTATACCTTTTATGCTTAATGGAATCTGTTTTGACAGATATTCAAGACAAATCATGTAAATAAAAGCGACAAAACCGTTTCAATAAGCATACGAAATTGCTGTTGAGAGTAGAGCCAATTGTAAGATTCCTACTTATTAGCATGTATTTATGACGCACTGTTAAATAGTGACCATGCCAGCTGTTTGCGAAAACATGAGCGTATCCTGCTTCACCGGTTGCGCCCTTCACGCTATTTTGCGATTTGAACCAACGACCTTGAGATTCTTGCATGCCTAGAAATGCATATCTGCACAGCGAAATGCGTGGTCTTGTCTCAGACGACTTAGCACTCAATTCGTAACATATATGTTAAAAGCCATAAATAACACAATTCGGATTTTACGTTGTATTTACACACAGATAATAACAGAACCATTCACATGATAAATAACATTCTGTGAATAATTTCATGACAACGTCCATATAAAATCACACGTCAATGACCTCACGAGTATTCTGACGAACGCAGGGATCAACTTGTATGACCTCGTTGTTCTCAAAGGCACGCAGGTAGTCTGCGAGACATGGAAAGGCACAGACGTCTAAGAAAACGGTGTGGGCTGGCTTGCCAAATTATAAAGATGTCGGAGTGTTTTATTTTGCAATAAATGAACCCCAAACTATGATTCCACCTCCTCCAAAAGGTCTCCCTCGAGAATACAGTTAAGCGCAAAACGTTCATCCTCGCGTCTGTTAATCTGGCGACAAAAGCAAAGGTTGAAACGGGATTCATCTGAAAAAAGATACGCCATGGTGTGTTCCGGATGTTGCCATCATTGGCTGCCCTTTATTGGATGGCAAGTCTGCGACACAATGTGACCATGGTGAGGTCAATAGCAACATACCCCATGGGCAGCGAGGCGTCTTCGAACTGTTTGTGGACTGATGTGGCGTCGTCGCGCACCGATGATCTGTTGTACAGTGTTTGTTGCCGTCCAAAAGGTGTTGGACAACGATGCGGCGGCCTTGCGCAGCTGTCGTTACAGTTGGCGCACCTGGTCGAGGACGATCGGCAACCGTTCCGAATCGACGGTTTAGTCGACTAAAAGTGGCGACGCCAAGCTGTGCAGTTCCGGTGTGGAACATTCCTACAGCCTGGTTACTGTCGGATTGGTTCATTATTTGTCGTATTTTCAGCAATGAACTAGGTGGAAGGGTGGTGTATATTTAAAGGACTTGGCTACAGGAAATGCATGTGCATAACATGAACCGTTCAACATGTTGCGTTTGCGAGTTTCATGGCCATGAACGAGAGTTGACCTTTGGTCGAAACAGGACCGCGTCAGGATGGAATCCTTACATATGTCGCACCTCTGTCATTTACCAATCCCTTCCTCGGACAACTGATTACATGATACCATGCATAAAACATAGATTGCGTTATTAATGGCTCTTAGTCAATAACACTTGCATATTTCATATTCAGATGGTGTCGAAGATTATGCTAAAAAAAGGCCAAACGTGAAGAGAAACATGTTGAATGTCTTGCAGAGTGGTTTTACTCTGTGCTTGATGTCATTGTTGCAATGCAAAAACTGACAAAACTGGAAACGGGAACTGGAGTCTGGAGAGCTGGAATAAATCTATTCTGTCCAAGGCTCCATACAAATTCGTTCAAAGAGAAATATATTGCTGGGTCCAGCAAATGTACTGACAAATCTTTGTCTTAAAGATGAACCACACTTCTTAATACAAGGCAAACTTGGCTATATATTCACAGAATGTATTTGAGACAAGTGGAATTAATACCATGTGGGATTTGCTTTCTTTTTTTACAATCCTAGAAAAAACAAACAATGTTCATGTGTGTCATAAAATTATACTTTTCAACTTCGTACTCCACCTTTCGACAGACAAACGTAAGGAAAGAATGTCATTCCTTTCCAATGAGACATTTGTCACAAAACGCGATGACCTACACACTGTAGTTCGGGACTACTTGTCAATGATGAAAGCAAATGTAATCTACCAAGAATGTTTACAAAGAACAACATATCTTAAATGATGGACTTCCTCATAGATTTGAAGATAGGTCATGGAGGCTCCCATATGGTCACCAACTGAAACCCGTGAAGATCCGGGGTAGAATAGGTCTTCAGCAACCCATGCTTGCCGTAAAAGGTGACTATGCTTGCCGTGAGAGGCGACTAACGGAATCGGGTGGTCAGGCTCGCTGACTTGGTTGATGCATGTCATCGCATCCCAACTGATCGATGCTCATAATGTCAATCACTGGATTGTCTGGTCCAGACTCGATTATTTACAGACCGATTGCTTCATGCGGCGTTAAACAACAAACAGACAAACAAACCTTCTTGCTGAACTTTTTTTTTTATCACGGTTACAACATTCAAGGCCTTTCTAATAGTTTCAAAAGTACACATGCGGAGGACAATTCACATTTGACGTATCCAATGCCGAAATGATGTCAAAAGCAAATCCCTATTTTGCCTTGTACCAAATGGACCCGTGGTCTTTCATGTGAACAATTGGCTTGCCTTTGCAAGTGTTTGTGACAAATGCCATCTGTGTGGCAGTGTATATAATATAATCAGAATCATTCAATGGGTTCTGCTTTTAGTAGATATTTCTTATGATTACAGAAAGGGTTTTGTCGCTTTTATTTAAAATACTTTCTACCTACATATATGACCTTTCTATTCAGTTGAGTGACTTGCAGGTAGCCGTGTAACCGTGTAACAAACATTTTGAATGTTAACAAGGGTTAATCACCATGGAATCCCATTGTGCAGCAGTTCAGTACAACCGTGTATATGCGATTTTGTCTGCCTCAGTGCAAGGATGCCCGTGTGATGATTCAAGTACATTAAAGTGACCTTGTGTCAGCAATTTAGGTATGATCATTATGAATTAATTTTTTTCCAGTTTTTATGTTAAAGTCATTTAGAATTGTGCTGTAAATTTCTGAAATACATGTAGCGTTAGGTATATTTACATGCAATTAAGCACCTGACTGCACCTGACTGCAGACTGCAGTTTTAATCATTAAACACAAAGAGCTGCCGAGAATTGTACGAAATGAACGACATCGTTCAGCGCAATAATGCAACACAAGCGACAAGGCAAATGTCAATCAGTTTTTAATGTTCAACCCCGCCCACTCCATTTTCAGCGAGTCACGACACAGAAAGCTAGAACGAGGTCACGGTCAACACCACGGCGTTTACGTTCTACTGATCATTGGCGCCAGATGCGAAGTTGAATACACAGTTGTTAAAGCTGGAATATGAGAAAAAATCGTGATTTCACTAGAGTAGATGCAACTGTGTTTAATTAACGTGGATCATTCCAAAAATGAACCAAGGCCTGGCCAACTGATGGTGCAGCGTGAGATCCATGTGGCAGAAACGCCTATGAGATTTCTGTGTTGTCGAGCAATGGTGATTGTAACTTCAGACAAAGGTGCGTCAGTTCAACGCCAGCATCATCCTTGCTTGAATGTTTTTGGTTTGGAGACAGTGTGTCGTGTACTTTTTGAACGACATGCAGTGCGCTGATTTCACGCATTTTAGGCATTGAATTTGATTATCCCACCGAGGAGACTACCCGACCACAAGACGACCCGACCGCCCCTCACTGTGCTTTAGTTTTGTTACACGGTTAAAGTTTGAGGTAAAAAAGCTTTATTACTTTTGAGATCTTCCCTTTCCACGACTACAAGTTGACAAACAAGATGTCGGCGGGAGCTAGCCGCGGGCGATATCTTTCCCAAATGACGTCTACTGGTGGAGGTAAGGTGTTACTCAAACTAAAATAATGATAACGTGTCACACATGTAGCCAGCTATTCATCATTATGAATAAAATACAGATACATGTTAATTCTACACAACGAATGAAGTTGGTGGGCGGATCCGTACTCTCAGGTTCAGGAC